ACACTACAGGTCGTGTGAGCCTCCTCACACTCTGCCTACTGTTCCCGTATGCCCATCCACATGCCTCCTCCAGACCCTGTCCCTCATCTGCCAGTCATCTTCCTTCCAGGATCTTGAAGCCAGACAAGCCACTTGTCACTGCCCATGGGTCCATATCTATTCTGATTTTGGCCTACTTTTCTTTCCACCCAAAATGGACAACCACGTGTTCTGCCCAAAATTCTGCCCATTGGGAGGTTTTCCCCTCCTTACTCTTCGAAGACCACCCTGGGTTGAGGTTGGAGACAGCTGCACCTATTTTTGGCTTACACATCCATATCAGGCCTACCCGACCATGAACTAAGGTTGGACTTTTTCTCCCTCCTCCATCTGGTCATAAAGAATTCCCAAGACAGACCTAGGTAGGAACTGCCAAGCTGCACTGGTACAGGACTGGTGGATGAGGCAGAGATCTCTACCACCGGCTGTGTCCCTTGCTGTGCCCTCTGCTCTTGTTTGTGTATGACCATAGATGTTCACTTCCATCTTCAAATGGATTCTTGCCAGCCCACCCAACTGTATGACTTGGGTCTCTCAGAACCCAGCTCATAATGGGCACGTGTGGCGGCGTGGTCACTTTAAGTCCCAGGTCAAGGGTTCTGTCTCTGCCAGGACCCACTCGCATACCAGGAGGGTTTTTTTTTTTAAGATGTATAGTTTTCTGCTGGAAATGGCACAGGCTTGTTCCACAGAGGCCAAAAGGGGGGTGTGTGCTGCGATTCTCCCATTGTGGTCTGCCATAAATTCTGCCCAGCTCCTTGCCCACCAATGATACACCTGCCTGGTTATATGGTCTCCATGTCAGGGATCCTTGCAGGGGCCTTCCCCGTCCTCTCTGAGCACCACCCAAAGCCGGCAGCTTGCATCTCCCCTTGCATGTTGGTTAGATATGTAACATGGTGCCTCCAAAATCTAAAGAGGCTTTCAAGATTCTGTGCTGTTTTCTTCACCATAGCAGGTGCAATAATTTGTCCTTTACTTTGGACGGGGTGCCCTGGATGCCTCTCATTACTGAACCCCTTCAAAATGTCACTGATGTGGCACGCCCTGAGTCTTTGTGGGGTTTCTCTCCCATTTTCTGGAATGTGTGTATTTTACCTGGGCCTTCCATGTGCTAGCAACTTCTTGCTCATCCAGTTTGATTAGGATCAGATCGTCGTGTAGTGGATTACTGTGATGTTCTGTAGAACTCCTAGATGGTCCAGAGCTCTTCAGACTATCTTATGACAGGGCAGAAGGTCGCATTGGTCCAGAGGCAAGACTGCAAATGTATACATTATTTGTTTAATGTGAATGCAAAGGGCCTCTTTTTTGATAGGAAATGCATTTGCTAAATCAGTATCTGTATACCATGGGCCTCAGCACAAGTGAACATGTCCTAGCAAAGACAGAACATCTGGCATGGCAGACTGCAATCAGGGCTAATACTCAGTTGAGTCCCAAGGAGTCTGCTCTTGGGGCGCCTGGGTGGCTCAGTCATTAAGCGTCGGCCTTGGGCTCAGGTCATGATCCCAGGGTCCTGGGATTGAGCCCCGCATCGGGCTCCCTGCTCAGTGGGCAGCCTGCTTCTCCCTCTCCCACTCCCCCTGCTTGTGTTCCCTCTCTCACTGTCTCTCTCTGTCAAATAAATTAAAAAAAAAAAAAATTAGAGGATTCTGCTCTCATTTGCCAGGATCCACCAGGATTTTTCAAGGGCTAGACTAGTATGTTAAATGGAGAAATGATGGGACCACTATCTCTGCATTCTTTTGGTATTTAACAGTGGCACAAATACCTGCCATCCCTCTGGGACAGGATACTGTTTTAAGATACGATCTTGGCTGAGGGAGTGGGGGAGCAGTTTCAGAGGCTTCCGCTGGGCTTTCCCCACTAGGATAGCTCTGACGTCATAGGCTACGGACACTAAAGTTGGTCTGTTCTATTTACACACTCAGCCATGAGAGAAATGGCCACAGGGAAGATCTGTGAAGCAGGTGACCCACGGTGACTTGGATCCTGACCAGGACTACATTACTAGTTGGTCCTCATATGCTCCATTCCAGTGGGGGTGCCACAGTGGTGCTTTATGTGCCCGGAAAACAATATGGGCTTGGATCCCGTGTCCAAGAGTCCTTGAAATGTGAGGCATTCCTCTTCCCCTGGGTGCGCTGTCAGCTGAATGAACGTCTATCTGAAGGTGTCTTTGGGGAAGGACCCGGGGAAACTTACCATGGCGTTACAGTCCCCTCCCCTTTCAGAGAACTGGTTATCGTCTTCATTCAACAGATTCCGGGCCTGAAACTGACTCAGATACGAAAGTTGGGCAAAGGAATGTGAATTTGTATTGGGGCAACTCTCCTTCACCTCTTGATTTCTTTTAGTAGTACAGACTGAGTAGCTCCCTTGTTGGCTGTCCATCTGTTTTGCCCTAGGGACCCCTTGTTTTGATACCCATCCTCGTATCTATGCGTCAACACCATCCCTCCCTCCACACCTTGGGCATCGCCACGTATTACAGCAACTATTCACCTGGCTTCCGGCAGTTCCATGCTGTCACGTGGCCTCTCTTGCTTTGGAAGTCCATAATCCTAACTGCCATTGGTGGGCTGAGTTCTCTAATGCCCTTTCCTACCATCAGGTCTGGCTGGATTTTAGGGCTGCTGGGACTCCTTTCACTGGGACACTCTCCCATCTCCTGGGGTCCTTGTTAGTGTGTTAAATACATCCTGAAATCTAGGAGACTGCTCCCAAATTGATCAGCTTTCTTTTAAGCAGGATATACTCCAATCCCTTTGATGGAGCATCCCAGAATCCCATCCCATCAAGTCGCCTGCCTTCTGCTGGTACACATGGGCTAAGTCTATTGCTTTGGGATGCAGTACTCTCCCCAACCACTTTATCAGACTCAGAATATCCCTGGGTGACTTTCACTGTGATTTAACCCTATTATAGGCTTAGTGACCACGAGGGTAGGTGGGGTACAAGGGGTATCAGAGGATCCTGAGGGGTACAAGGTGTTAGCCCCTATAGGAAGGAGCCTTTGTATCATCTCTAAGCTACTTCTGTGGATAGGTCATGTAAATAAAAAATAAATCTTTGCTATTTGAAGACAATGAGATTGGGGGGATGCTTGTTACTGTAGCATCATGTAGTCTATCCTGACTGATACATCTTGATTGCATGCTGAAAGAAGGGAAAAGATCTTTCAAGTCTCAAGAACATAAAAAGGAACCGTTTTTTTCCCAGAATAATATGCCTTTTTTTAAAAAAAAATCATGTTGATTAAATAGTCATTCTGAGCACACATATGTAGGTGAAGTAGACAATTTTTTTCATATCTCCATGTCCTTGGTTAATTTCACCAAATTCATTGGCTCAGGCCCAGTTTGCTAACACAGAGGAAGGAAGGAAGGAAGACCAAGAAGAGGGCACTGAGGTGGGCCACCGGGCTGGGAGTGGGAAGATTTCTGGATAAAAAGCTAAGGTTAAAACTGAATTAAATAAGGGGCACCTGGGTGGCTCAGTTGGTTAAGTGTCTGCCTTCGGCTCAGGTCATGATCCCCGGGTCCGGGGATCGAGCCCCGCATTGGGCTCCCTGCTCAGTGGGAAGCCTGCTTTTCCCTCTCCCTCTGCCTGCCACTCCCCCTGCTTGTGCTCTCTCTCTGTCAAATAAATAAATAAAATCTTTTAAAAAAACTGAATGAAATAAAAAATTCAGTTTCTCAGCCACGCTAACCACAGCTTAAGTGTTCAACAGCCACCTAGGTCTAGTGGCAACTATACTGGACTGCACAAATAAACATTTCCATCATTCCAGAAAATTCTGTGGGACAGTGCTAAAAGATTTAAGATTAGGCACTCCATGAAATACTTGGGAAAATGCCTGAGTCTTCCAGCTCATATATAAAAGAGTATCAGTTTAGGTTTTCCCAAATTTGGCAGCAATCCTAATAATTTAAATGGCATAACCAACAACTTGTGGAAACTAAAAGAAACTTCTAAATCATAAAGTTCTTTCAACAACCACAAGACAGGAAGAATTTAAATATCATTCTCTTGAGAAACTAATACAAAATTATCATAGGAAGAGGGGTTTCAAAGTAAATGCAACCAAAAAAAAAAAAAAAAAGGAAGAAAATGTATCTTAAAGGTGCCAGGACATTAATAAAACCGGTTTTCAGTATTTTGCAATGAGTGTGGTATGCCAGCTTTCAAAATTTTTAACTTACTCCTTTTAAGGTTCTTTATAAATATACATTTTCCTAACCTAACTCTGTATTTGCACTTTTATATTCCTTTTCTTATGAAGTCCTACCCCCTATTCACTCCCCAAAAAACTGTATGAGCCTCAGTTCCTATAAAGTCTTATATGCCTTGGATAGAATCGTTCTCAAAAAGTAATTTTTGTTTTTAAGGCAAAGCCACTGATAGCCCCTTCCCTTATTTTTCTAATACTGAATTAAGCTGGAATAGCTCCACATCTGTACTGGGTTGAATAGTGTTCCTCTAAAATTCATATTCAACTGGAACTGTGAATGTGACCTTCTTTGGGGACAGTCTTTGCAGAGGTAATCAAGTTAAGATCCTGTTGGATTACAGTGGGCCCTAAATCCAATGACGGGTGTCCTTATATAGGAAGAGGGAGACATGGACACATACAGGGAAGAAGGCCATGTGATGACAGGGACTGCACAGTCAGGTTGCCACAAGTCAAGGACTGCTAGCAACCACCACGAGGTAGAAGAGGCAAGGAAGGATTCTTCCTAGGGCCTTCGGAGGACGTGTGGCTGTGCTGATGCCTTGATTTGGGACTTCTGGTCTCCAGAACGGTGAGAGAATACATTTCTGTTGTTTTAAGCAACCAAGCTTGTGGTAATTATGGCGCAGCCATCGGACATGAATACAATATTCTACGCATTGAACTGATCTAATTTCCCATCATTGTACCCTATTACTTGGGTGTAATTATTTATTAAAGAGCATTTACAACACTGTAAGTTTTATTTACGCCAAATATCACATCTTAGATATAGAGTTTCAATGAATGAAAATCAACAGTACAAGAATACATGAAGTAAATTTTGTAACATTTAAGACTGGCCTCACTTAAGCAACAAAATGCCAAATACTGTTACTACATCTTTAACCCCGACTTGAGCTTAGAAAATAAAAGGCCAGAAGAATAATCTACATTACATGAATGTGATAACACATTGTCTATCTCTAAACAGATAAAAGCATAATTTTTAAGTTTATCTACAACGACTTATTGGTTCAAACCTGCTCTTCCAATTAAGAAGAAAAAAATACACAACAAATTTTTAACTGGTAAAATCATTTCACAGCTATAAAGGATGCTAATGACACCACCCTCTACTAGCAAAGAACAAATATACAAATAGAGCTTTCCAACCTACCTAGTAACAATTTTTTTCCCAGAGTTCAGTGAAGTATGGGTTGGGGAGATAGGAGGTGAGTAGTATGAGAGGTGAGATAAGCCAGTCACTGATCAAACGTTAGCATACAAAACTTGACCAAACTATTCAAGTAAAAGGACAAAGGCCCCAGTGAAATATTTCAAATAATCCCCAAAAGTAAAAGGTAGAGATAATCCATGTTGCAAATGCCATTTTTGTCCTTAAGGGCCACATATGCCGACTCAGCCTCATGACTTAGACTCCCTCAGGGGATTCCACGTTACCCCGGTTCGCACTCTTTATCTGGGGGCTGCCTTATGCCAAGGAGCCTCCCTGCTGAGCTCCGCACACACGGAGGCCCCTGGCCCAGGCCCCACTCCTGCACAGAAATACCTACTCGTTGGAGAGTACACCTCTCTTACAGAGGCTGTAGCCAAAAATGCTAGAATGAGCTTCTTTAATCATGTTTTTTAAATCTTTTGTGACATTTTAGCAACTTGGGGCCTCCCTGACTGTGGAGAGACTGCTGGTCTGGTCTGGCTAGTTCTTAAAGACAACAAAGGACCCCCACGGAGCACACCTTTCATATGAAAACCAACCAATCCAGAGCCCCCACTCTCAGCTGCTTCCTCTATCTGGTTCTTACACTCCAGGAGGCAGTATTCCTCTGCCCTAATCACCCATGGTCAGCACCGCACTATAGCCAAGAGCCCCCTGACATTACCCAAACTAGCCAATCCTAAGATGTTCCCTTGCCCTGCCTGGCCTTTGCTGCAAAAACACTAAGGGCTCTCCCCCAAACTTTCCCAGTGCGCCTGCTTCTGCCTCCTGAGTGGCTCTGGTGCGTCTCCCTGTGACCTTTTGTGGTATGGCATTAGCTTTTCCATGTCACTCAGTCACCTCCAGAAATTAAAATCCTGTGAGTAGATTTTATCACAACTGGTGCAGCAAGAAGGGTGACTGGTTTTGACAAAGGAGCATGCCTCTTCACTGCTCCTGACTCACTAAGTAGCCCCCACCGCCAGCCGTGGGCACACCCGTACTCAGGCAGCTACCTTATGCTGACAAGGCGTTCCAGCCTAACTTGTAGGAGGACCTCAAAGGCGTGCATGTCTACAGTCCTCATTTACTCTTAGGGCTGTAGCCTAGGCTGATGGTAACCCATGTTCCCGACTTGGCACCTTGTGGGGTAAATAACTGGACCCAGGGCTCCCACATGATTCCCCACGCTGAGGGGTCATCTGGACTGATGACCCCTCAGGGACTAGGCTAACTGGCCGACACACAAGGCAGAGGCTTTTACCAACCAGGAGCGAGGAGTGACTTCCTCCAACGGATGGTGTTGGGATGTAAGCCGATTGACTAAGCCAGCAATGCCAAAGTCCGTTGGGGCTGCTCGCCTGAGTTACCTCCCTCCTCATTCTGTGAGCAACTGGTCCCATCACACAGATTCCAACTTCATCCAGACGATCTCTCTTTTAGAAAGTATCTCTGGCAGAAGTCCAAGCGTTAGCCCCTAGTACACTATAGGGATCCATTGTTGACATGATGCTGAGCGCCCTCCTCATGGAAACCACGGCCCCCAAAAGGCTTAAAAAGTTGCTTCAAGGGGCACCTGGGTGGTTCAGTTGGTTAAGCATCTGACTCTTGGTTTCGGCTCAGGTCATGATCTCAGGGTTGTGAGATCGAACCCTCCATCGGGCCACTAGGCGTGGAGCCTGCTTAAGATTCTCCCTCTCCCTCTGCCCTGCTCCTGCCCCCACTCACATTCTCTGTCTTTCTAAAAATGAGAAAAAGTTACTTCGAGGGCAGATCTCTTTGTTGTCACTTGCCTTTCTGCCATTGCAATGTGTCCCCAGACCCAATGCGATATAAGAAACTCCTTCCATGGAGACCAGTAGCTCTTTGTTCAAAGTAAATTCCATCTCAATAAAAAGAGAAGGAAAGGACAAGGTGGAGAAGTCATCTCTCCCTGCTCCTCCTAGGACCTGAGGAATGTTCTCAACTCATCCAAGATGACAAGTCTCCTGGCCAGTGTGTCTGGGCCCTCGTGAGTGCTGACGCCTATCAACACAAGACAAGCCTCCTTAAAACTATGTGGTCACACACTCAGGATGCTGCTGCCACTGCTCTCCTGGATGCAACAACAAATGATACCACGAAACTTCATATAACAAATTATGTAGAATAATTACATATGGAGCAAATATGTAAGACTTACATACTAAAAGATTTATATAACCAAGAGATTAAAAAAGTGTTCATTGGTTTTTGTGCCTCTACAACCTTAGATGTAGGTTCTAAATTAACTTGAACATTTTGCTAAAATGAGCCAGTGACAAAACATCCTAGACTTAATCAATACGGGGTGGGGGGAGGGTGGATTATAGTTTTTTATACCTGGGGATTCTGCTAAGTTTAGACACTGTAGCTCTTCTAATCTGAAAAAAAGTAACCAAATAGAAAACAGGAAAAAATGTAGGTATGCCTCACTGTAACTGTAGTTTTGTCTCAATTTCCTGTAGGGAGACTACCAACTCCCCTAAAATACCCCATGTACAGACACTCTAACGTAATGAATAAATTATAATTAACATAAGTCTTTGTCACTTACAAATTAGATTGATAAAAGTGAGACTCCATGATTCCCCCACCCAACACCGTTAAAATAGTTTACCTGGCCCAAAGTAAGTAAATAAGGTCCTTCAAGAATTAAAATTTATTCTATAAAACCTAATTCACAAAGGGGTGATTATCCCAGTTGCTTCGCCATTTTTGCAGCCCAAATTTGCCTGTTCTTAAACCCAGGGAACATAAAGGTCCTTCATGGTAGATTTCTGCCATCTTGCTGCTGTGGTCCCATGCATTAGGGCCCCAATACCCAATATCCAATAGTCTTAAAATTACTAATTCTATTCAATCAGTAACTGGTAAATATTTTGCTCTTAGAGGTTCGGCTAGTACACTCTGCTCAGTGCCTACTGCAACAGTCTCTCAGGCACACTTCGCCTTCACCTCAAAGGGACACACCTACCTTCTCCAGGCTCCCTGTGGGGTACCTCAGCAACTTCGCAGACAAGATCTTTGCTGCACCCATCCTCTCTGGGAGCACAGGCACGACATCACAATGATGCCATCCTTGCTCCAAGGAGACTCATCTGACACACTCACCAAGGACACACAAGTCCAACATCTTTCAGTACTTTTTGGGTTCTGATGACCACATGGTACTCATTTACAAGTCGTCCTTAATCTCACTGATGCTGCTACTTACAAATCAGCCCACTTACGTGGGCTCCCTCAAAAAAACCTCTGAAATCTGACCAAATTAACATCAATAGGCACTGCCCTCAGAGACTCTTTCACTCAAAAGATCTGGGCAATCTCCTCTCAGGTCACTGATGTGGCTATAAGTGGCCCAAAGGCTTTAGATGCAAGAAACTGACCCTCTCAGCCTCATGCTGTGTACCATTAAAACAACAAATGACTGGCCACGTACCAGACTCTCCTGAAAACAGAGGCTCTCCCAGACACTGGGCTGTATCTCTGTATCCAGATGCCCCCGGGTCAAGAAAGCAGCACCCCACAAGGTCCGCATGGGTACTGAGGCCTCCCTGGATATAGGATGGAGCCAAACTCGGGCTCTCTGACACAGTCCACCTACAGGAGGGGGTGGTCTCCCCTGTCCTCAGTCCCTTGCCAGATACTACTGTGCTAGAGGAGGTCACCCTCTCCAGACCCTTGGCTACCTGAGGAGCCCTTGGGATTAACTGAGTGAACAACAGTGAAAGTTCATAGACTATATGATTGGCATTGCCCACCTTCCTAGAAATGATGGAGAGCTCAGAGGAACATTGCAACTTTCTATCTCCTAGCCAGGATGTCCCTCTAATAAAGGATGGGAGCCCAAGGGTAGGCACATTTGGCCAAACTTTAAGGCAGTCCTCTTAGCACTGAATGTTCTCTGCTCAGCAAACAGCCCCATCGGCATACATATCACAACTGTTGCCACTGCCTAAGGGTTGTCCCTGTCAGGATAAAAATCTCTGGGAATCTTGTCCCTCACAGATCTCTAAAACACAAATCAAACTCACACATATATTAGGCCCACAACATAAGCCCTTGCCAGGACACTCCTTACTCCCGTGGAGGTTACAGGCATTATGAATAGTAACCAAGACACACATGTCACTTCTCAGAATATGCAATGCTAGGCTTTTGGAAAAGGTGTTCAACAGAACTTTCGTGTCTCTGGTAGGTCCCAGACAACGAGTTTAATTGAAAAATTAAACCCATCCCCAGGCCACGCCACAACAGTTCTGTGTTCCCTCTCTGGTTCCTGAGTTTGGAGCTTTGATCCAGCATAACTGGGGCCAAGCTGCTGTTACTCTGCCCCCTGCCCCCCGCCCCCTGGGGTCAGAGCTGGAACTTTGACACACTCTCCCCAGGATGTGCTGATGCTGTCCTCCGCCCCCCTGGGCCCAGGCCACTGCTGTACTCAGTCATCCTAGGGTCTGCATACCATGCTCCTGGGGCTCAAGTCATGCACAAGCCCCAGACCCAGGCCCTGGTTCCATGGGAGATCTGTAAATGCCAGTACCTCAGACGTGGGTGTCCCAGCTGCAGCAAGTGCATCTGTGCACAATGATGGTTCTGCATGCAACCCAGCCTTGGGCCACAGCTCCACTGAGGATCAGTGTACTGACTGGGTGCCAGGAGGGATGCTCTCAACTAGAACTTCCTTCCATGGGCAACAAAGGAGAACAGGAGAACCTCAGCAACCTTTACCACCAAGGACTGCAGTAGCCCTAGCCACCACTGCCACCGGCGAGCCCTCCACCAAAGATCCCCACAGCCTTTACTGACACCAACCTCATCTAACAGACCTGCATAGAGACCATGCCACTGTACTCTCCCCAGAACAAGAAATGCACCCTACTCAGCTAGTGCCCTCACAGCGCATGTTCAGGTAAAAAGCTTTCCCCATCAAAGCTAGTCTGAAAAGGTTGGAGGAGGTAAATTCTCCCTTAAATGCTCAGACATCAATATAAACCCACTAGAAACACAGGAAAAAAAGCAAGGATACATGACCTGACAAAAAGAACACAATAACTTTCAGGCAACTGACCCCAAAGAATTGGAACTCTGTGAGTTACCTGAAAAAGAATTCAAAATAATTATTTTAAGGAAGCTCAGTGAAAATCAAGAAAACACAAATCAATGAACTCAGGAAACTAATGCATGAATAATATAAAACCTTCAACAAAAAATTAGAAATCATAAAAAAGAACCACATAAAAATTCTAGAGGTGACAGATACAATAAATTAAATGAGAAATGCAACAGAGAGCTTCAATAGCAAGCTCAACTAGTTGAAGAAAGAATCTCTGAACCTAAAGACAGAGAATTGATATTATCCAATCAGAGGACAAAAAAAAAAAAAAGAGTGGAGGAAACCTATGTGCATTATGGGACACCAGCAAGCAAAAAATGTTCATACTGGGGCACCTGAGTGGCTCAGTCAGTTGAGCATCTGCCTTTGGCTCGGGTCATGATCCCGGGGTCCTAGGATCAAGCCCCACATCGGGCTCCCTGCTCAGCAGAGAGTCTGTTTCTCCCTCTCCCTCTGCTCCTCCTCCCCCCCCCCCGCCCAGTTTATACTCTCTCTCTCACTCACTCTCTTTCAAATAAATAAAATCTTTAAAAAAATATTCATATTATGAACGTCACAGAAGAAGAGACAAAGAGACAGAAAATCATTTAAAGAAATAATGGAAGAAAACTTCCCAAACTGGGAGAGAGATAGGAATCATCCAGGCATATGAAGCTCAAAGGTCCTCAAACAGATTCAACTTGGAGAGATCTTCACTGAGACACATTATAAGGAAACTCTTAAAACTCAAAGACAAAGATGGGACGCCTGGGTATTTCAGTCAGTTAAGCATCTGAGTATTGATTTTGGCTCAGGTCATGATCTCAGGGTTGTGAGATTGAGCCCCACATCAGACTCCATGCTCAACAAGGAGTTTCCTTGAGATTCTCTCTCCCAGGGTGCCTGGGTGGCTCAGTTGGTTAAGTATATGATTCATGATTTTGGCTCAGGTTATGATCTCATGGGTCCTGTGATCAAGCCCCACTTAGGGCTCCACATTCAGTGGGGAGTCTGCTTGAGATTCTCTCCCTTTGCCGACTTCTGTGTGAGCACTCTCTCTCTCTTTAAAATAAATAAATCTTAAAAAAAATATTCTCTCTCCCTCTCCCCCACATCTCTTGCTCTCCCTCCCTCCCTAAATAAATCAATAAATCAATAAACAAATCAAAGACAAAGAGAATTTTGAAAACAGCCAAAAAGAAAAAAGACTCATCACATACAGGGAAACCCCATAAGACTATCAGCAGATTTCTCTGTAGAAACCTTGCAGACCAGGAGAAAATGGGATGATATATTCAGAGTGCACTAAGAAAAAAACTGCCAACCAAGAATGCTTTGCCCAGCAAAGCTGTCCTGCAGAAAGGAAGGAGAAATAAAGACTTTCCCAAATACACAAAAACTGAGGGAATTCATCATCCTTAGACCTGCTTTACAAGAAATGCTAAAGGAATTCTTCAAACTAAAATTAAAGGATGCTAATTAGTAATTGAAAACATGTAAAATATAAAATTTACTGGTAAAGATAAATATATAGTCAAATTCAAAATACTCTAATGCTGCAATGATAGTGTGCAAATCATGAGAAAGACAATGGAAAAGATCAATGAAGAGTTGTTTTTTTTTAAAGATAAAATTGACAACCCATTAGCCAGTCTAAGAAAAAAGTGAGATGATTCAAATACACAATAAACAAAAGAGGAGACATCACAAATGATACCACAGAAATACAAAGGATCTTATGAGACTACTATGAGTATTTATGCCAACAAATGAGAGGACTTAGAAGAAATGGATAAATTCAAAGAAATACACAACTTACCAATACTGAATCATGAAGTAATAGAAAAGCTGAGCATGTCAATAACAAGCAAGGACACTAAATGAATAATCAAAAATTCTTAAAAGAAAAAGACTAGAACCAGATGGCTTCACTTACAAATTCTATCAATCATTTAAATAATACCAATCCTTCTCAAACCATCTCAAAAAATGGAAGAAGAGAGGACATTTCCAAACTTACTTTACAAGGCCATTATTACTCTGATACAAAACCAGGTAAGGACACTATAAGAAAAGAAAATTACAGACCAATAAATCTGATGAAGATAGATTCACAAAATCCTCAATTAAATACTAGTAAACCAAATTCAGAAGCACATGGAAAAGATTTACCCATGATTTACATGATTTTCATCAGGATCAAGAGGGATTTACCCCTGGGATGCAAGGAAGGTTCAACATATGCAAATCAACCAATGTGATACCCACAGAATGAAGGATCAAATGTATATGATCTTTTCAGTAATGCAGAAAAAGTATGTGACAAAATTTAACATCTTTTCATGATAAAAATTCAACAAATTAGGTGTAAAATGAATGTTTCTCAACATCATAAAGGCTATGTATGACAAGCCCACAGCTTACATCACACTTAACAGTGAAAAGTTAAAAGCCTTTCCTCTAAGATCATGAGCAAAAGAAGGATGCCCACATTCACCACTTTTATTACAGACAGTACTGGAAATCCTAGCCACATCAACTGAGCAAGAAAAAGAAATAAAAGGCATTCAAACTGGACAGGAAAAACTAAAATTATCTCTTATAAATAGAAAACCCCAAAGTTCCTACCAAAAAACTGTTAGAACTAATCAATGAATTCAGTAAGGTCCCAGGATACAAAACCAATTGCATTTCTATACACTAACAAAAAACTATCAGAAAGAGAAATTAAGAAAACAATCCCATTTACATCAAAAAAACTATAAAATACATAGAAATAAGTTTATCCCAGGAGATACAAGACCTGTACATTGAAAAATGTGAGACACTGATGAAAGAAATTGAAGACACAAATAAATGGAAAGGTATCTTATGTTCTTAGATTGGAAGAATTGATATTGTTACAGTGTGCATACTACCCAAAGTGATCTACAGATTCAGTGTGGTCCCTATCAAAATTCCAATGGTATTTTTCACAGAAATAGAAAAAAAATCCCCCAAATTCATATGGAAGCAAAAAAGACCCCAATAGCCAAAGCAATCTTGAGAAAGATGAATAAAGTTGACAGTATCATATTTCTGATTTCAAAGTATACTACAAAGTTACAGTAATTAAAATAGTGTCATACAGGCATAAAAAGTCACATAGACCAGTAGAACAGAACAGACAGCACCAAAATAAACCCATGTAGATATGGTCAAGTAAACTTGACAAGGGTTCCAAGAAAACAAACACAATGGGAAAAAGATAGCCTCTTCAATAAATGGTGTTGGGAAAACTGAATATCCAACAAAAGAATGAAACTGGACAGCTATCTTATACCTATGAAAATTAACTCAAAATAAATTAAAGACTTAAATGTAAGACCTGAAAACATAAAACGTCTAGAAGAAAATGAAGAGAAGAAACTCTTTGACATTGGTATTAGCAATGATTTCTTTTTGGATAAGATGTCCAAAGCACAGGCAAGGAAAGCTAAAATAAACAAGTAGGACCACATCAAACTAAAGTGCTTCTGTACAGCAAAGAAAATAATTAATAAATTGAAAAGACAGCCTATAGAATGGAGAAAAATATTTGTAAACCATATAGGAAATGAAATGAACTCACATAAGGAATGAAATTTGTATTTTGAACAAATATCTGCACTCCCATGTTCACTGCAACTTATTCACAATAGCCAAGATATGGAAACAACCTAAATGTGTTTCAGTGGGTGATTGGATAAAGAAAATCTGATACACACACATACACACACACACGCAGGAGTATTATTCTGCCTTAAAAAGAAGGAAATCGTGTCATTTGTGACAACAGGGATGAATTATGCTAAGTGAAATAAGCCAGACACAGAAAGACAAATACTGTATGGTATCACTATATACGGAACCTTAAAAAAAAGAAAAAAGCTGATTTGATAGAAATAAGGAATAGAATGGTGATTGCTAGGGGCTGGGGAGAAGGGGAAATGGGAGGATGTAGGTCAAAGGGTTCAAACTTTCAATTATAAAAGTTCCGAGGATTTAATGTATAGCACAGGGACTAGAGTTAATTATATAGTATTGTGTTCTTGAAAGCAGCTGAGAGTACATCTTAAACATTCTCATCACACACACTATGTGAAGTGACAGACGTATTAATTATCTCAATGTACATGTGTATCAAATCATGCTGTACACTCAGAATGTATGTAATTATATTTATCCATTTTTAATAAAGCTGGAAAAAATTTTTCTAATTGCACTTTCCTCTATTTAAAGGGGGTATGTGTTCAGATGGCTAACAGACACATGAAAAGATGCTCAAGATCACTCATCTCAGAGAAATACAAATCAAAAACCACAATGAGATACCATCTCAACCTGCCAGGATGGCTAAAATTAACAACACAAGAAACAATAAGTGTTGGTGAGGATGCAGAGAAAGGGAACCCTCTTGCACTGTTGGTGGGAATGCAAACTGGTGCAGCCACTCTGGAGAACAGTATGGAGGTTCCTCAAAATGTTAAAAATAGAGCTACCTTACAATCCAGCAATTGCACTACCAGGATTTACCCAAAGGATACAAAAATACAGATTCAAAGGGGTACATGCACCACAATGTTTATAGCAGCATTATCTACAATAGCCAAACTATGGAGAGAGCCCAAATGTCCATCGACTGATGAATGGATGAAAAAGAAGTGGGATACACACACACACACACACACACACTGGAATATTATTCAGCCATCAAAAAGAATGAAATCTTGTCATTTGCAATGACATGGATGGAGCTAGAGTGAATTATGTTAAGTGAAATAAGTCACTCAGAGCAAAACAAATACCATATGATTTCACTCATATGTGGAATTTAAGAAAGAAAACAGATGAATATATGGGAAGGGGGAAAAGAAAAGAGGAGAGAGGGAAACAAGCCATAAGAAACTCTTAACAACAAAGAACAAACTGAGGGTTGATGGAGGGAGGTAGGTAGGGGATAGGCTAGATGGGTGATGGGTACTAAGGAGGGCACTTGTGATGAGCACTGGGTATTGTACATAAGTGATAAATCACTGGATTCTACTCCAGAAACCAATACTGCACTGCATGTTAACTACCTAAAATTTAAATTAAAAAAATAAAGGGGGATATGTGCTTTCATGTATATTAAAAACTCATTATATGTTAGTCCCTTTAACAAGGTTTCCCCGTCTTTATACATTTTTCTATTTTGCCCCCATCCCACAAGGGCTAAAGGCCAGATTGAGGGCACATACTTTCTTGGGACCCATTAATCACAGACATTCCCACAGGCCAGGCAGCTGCTCAACTGATAAGGGACCCAAGTGAACCTAAACCAAAAATCAAAAACAAAATCTCTGCCAGGTGTAGCTGCCCACTGTTCTACTGACTGTTGGTCTTATTACTGCTGGTCTGGTTGCTTTCACTGGTTTGCAAACACTTCAAGTAAATCACTGTTTCAAGCAAACATAGCAAACATTGAGACCCACATCAACCTGAGTGGGTACCCACTTAAAATGAATACCTCATGTCCCACTCCCTAGACAACATCACTCTGGCCCAGAAGCTCATTGCTCAGATGACATCTCCCAGACCACGAGCTTGCGACTGGAGACAACTCTATTTTGGACACTAGAATTTATGCCCATAGACTGCCTTTGTTAAGTCACGAATTGGACACAGGACGTTTTTACTTCTCTTCCTTAAATATTAGGGATTCTATTATGTTTCTGAGCTTGCTGCCTGTTTAGCACATTACCCTGGTATATTCCTTGCTCTCTGCCAAAACACATACCCCTACACTCCCATGCCTGAAGTGAAATCTGATGGAGGTTACTATCTGTAAAGTATTCCAAAAATGAATGGTGATTATTACTTTCCCCAGGAAGCACCTGCCTTCTCTCAGTCAACCCAAGTCTCTGGGAGAGCACCACTCACTCACTCTCCTTCTCCTACTGCCCTTTCCAGCTTTCCACCAGAACCTCCTACCCCATGTCTCTAGTCATAACACTCCTTTCCCTTGGTTACATACACTTACTGCTTAATCGTTAATGTATTTATTAAATTATCATACGCTCCAATAGCATAACTGCTGGACCTGCCATCTTGACTCGAGAAAGAGATCAAGATATTATCACACTCATACTTTTCATACACTTTACAACTCTGCTAAGACATTGTTGAAGACCACCCACCCCCAAGACTCCAGATCTATGATCTTGGCTAATACACATAAATGGGAACCGTAGTTATGGGCCGGCCTCAGGGACTCCTTACACCTCTGCCTGTGCTGCTCCTTTCTACTCTTATAATATAACACTTTGGAGGACATTAGGGGAAGGAAGGGAAAACTGAAGGCGGGGAAATCGGAGGGGGAGACGAACCATGAGAGACTATGGACTCCAAGAAACAATCTGAGGGTTTCAGAGGGGGTGGGGGGATGGGTTAGACCAGTGATGGGTATTAAGGAGGGCACCTGTTGCAACAAGCACTGGGTGTTATACGCAAACAATGAATCATGGAACACTACATCAAAAATTAATGAAGTGCTGTATGGTGACTAACATAACATAGTAAAAAAAAAACTTTTGGTGCTGTTCAAGGTAACGTATGCCTTACTCTTTAATGTCTCCATTATTATCACTCCAAAGTTTCCTTAATGTGATGTCAAAACATCAGAGGACAATCATATTAATCATGTGTTAAAAAAGACTTTATGATATTTTGACATCTTGGGGGTCTCACTGGTTGGTGAGACTGCCCGCCCTAGGCTGGTCAGTCAGAGGCTGCAAAGGGCCCATGAGGAAGCATAACTTTCATATGAGAACCAACCAATCCAGAGCCCACACTCTGAGCCACCTCCTTTGTCTGGCTCTTAACAGTCCACAAGAAAAAGAGTCCTCGGCCTTACTCACCCAGGGCTCAATACCAGACAAGAAGATCCCACCCATATAGCCCAAAACCCACCACCACCCAAACTAGACAATCCCAAGCTGTTTCCCCTGCCCTGCCTGGTGTTTCCCACAGAAACACAATAAAGGCTCTCCCCCACACTCCTGCTTCTGCCTTCTGGCTCTGGTGCTTCCCCATGCGGCCCTGACTGCATGCCTCTCATTTCTAGTGGAAATATGAGTAACAATAAATTTTTCTTTCAGTGGCATGGACCTCTCTGCATTGTCACCCAGCCACTTAGAAATTAAGTCTTGGGCACAAATCAGAGCTATGTCCCCAACTAGTCTATCTGCAGTGGTGGCAAATGAATTTCTTCAATAGTTTATGCTACTGCAATATTCTAATACTCAATATGCTAATATTCACCTAAAAGCAGATCCACTACTAAAAGCTACCTGACAGGATTCAGCAGACTAGGTAATTTTTTTTTAGCCGTTCAGAGGCTGAAGTTAAGGGGAGGAGTTGCAAAGGTGGAAATACCTCCTATGATTCAGAAAGCAATGGCTCAGAATGAAGCATTAGCCCCATTTGGGACGAGGTGATACTGGGCAACAATCAGTGTTCAATTTTTTCCATATGGCTGGCACAGCTCACCCTACTCATTCAGATCTAGCCTCCCTGGCTTTTTAGTTTCCATGAGTCACAGAATCAGAACAGGGTCTTCTCATAGGAGCAGAGCTACAGAGAAAGAGCTTCTTTCTGCAAGCTGCCACTGCTATCCATGTTGAGAATGGGAGATGGGGACCTTTCTACCCTATTCCATGGGGGTATTTAGGAAAAATAAAACCTTATGCCTTAAACAAACAAAACTCACCCACATTTATTTTCCCTCCTAATGCTCCATCTTTCTTTTTCGTATCTGTCACATTATTTGATAGATAGCATCTAAATTTTAAAGAGTGGTACCTATCAAAATAATTTAACATAAAAGGGGAAAGGAAGAAGAAACAGATGAGTACTTTTTAAAAGCAATTTAAAAATCATAATGACTTCTATGTAATACAGCTAGTCCAGGCAATGGAGTATTTTTGTGATTATAACAACTACCAATTTTCAAATAATTTTACGACAAAATGATACTATCATAGTTCATGGTAATTCTACCATCTATAATTTTGTTCTTTGATGATTCAAAAGTCCTGTAGTAAGACTTGATATATGTTAATAGTTGAGATACAACTTACTAAACAGTTTTGGTGCTTTTTGGTTTGGGAGATGGTGGGGGGTGATGCTTAAGAGAAGAAAGGACATCTTTGTGGTTATAAAGATGGGATAACACTCCAAAAGTTGGCACATGAATTGGTTATGAACCACTTATGTGGTTGCATGGAAAAATCTTAAAATCTTACATTTTTTTAAAATTTGGAACTTTAGGGCGCCTGGGTGGCTCAGTTGGTTAAGCGACTGCCTTCGGCTCAGGTCATGATCCTGGAGTCCCAGGATCGAGTCCCGCATCGGGCTCCCTGCTCGGCAGGGAGTCTGTTTCTCCCTCTCCCACTCCCCGTTTGTGTTCCCTCTCTCGCTGTGTCTTTCTCTGTCAAATAAATAAATAAAATCTTAAAAAAAAAAATTGGAACTTTAAAAAGTATTCTAACTTTCAATTTTGAAGATGAGGACACATAGGGAATGTGATATCCTAAAAATCTCATGAGCTTTCAGAACACTGCCCATCAGGATATCAGTTGTATTTCAGAGATGTAGGCAGGGATGGAATTATGAGTCAAGCCACTTAGGAGAGTGAAATGGAAAAACGCCTAACAGAGTGTACAGAATGTACTTCAAGTACTATACTTAAAGAAGAAAAATTACTACCCCCCACACTGTTATTATTACCCTAAGTAGATTCTGTTTTTATTCTGATGTAACTAGACCATTAGTGTTGGAACATTTTCAGTAAAATTAAACTTGATTGTTCTGATTCTGAATGAGACCTTATTTTCTGAGAAATATTAGAAATGACATCTCCATGATAGAAAAGAGGTATGCGGGGGTGGAGCTGTTCCACTGCATTAGCTAAATTTGTAGCAAACTGGAGTTTAGGTTTCCTTAAGTTTGTAAAAGTAAGCTTCCTTCATAATATGACTTGAGATATTATTTCCCTGGTCCAACTTCCTGATAAAGAATGACATCTAAGGGGCTCCTGGGTGGCTCAGTCAGTGAAGCATCTGCCTTCAGTTCAGGTGATGATCCTGGGGTCCTGGGATCAAGTCCCATGTCGGGCTCTCTGCTAAGTGGGGAGTCTGCTTCTCCCTCTCCCTCCCTGCCCCACACCCTGCTTGTGCTCTCTCAAGCGTGTGCTCTCTTTTTCTCTAATAAACAAATAAAATCTTAAAAGAAAAAAAAAAAAAGAATATCATCTAAGTGCTCAGGAAGTGCCCATCTGATCCTGCTCTGCTCTAGGCAGAGGTGAGATGCTGGACAGAGCCTGAAGTGGTCACAGTCCATTCCCTTGGGTGTCAAAAGATAAAGACAACAGAAACTTTTGCTGTTCTATCTACATCACTACTGCCAAACAGGCTTTTACACAAGAACACTTGGAACGAGCTGAAAACTCAGAAGAAGGCAGACAGAATCAGGAAAAGATAAGTTAGTGGTTCTGGTCAGAGATCCGTTCCAGTAATGACATTTCAGGAGTAAGGCTGAGAAAGCAACAACATCTGATGTACAGGACAAGCCCTGGTACTCTGAGCACAGGGACTTAACTTCAGGAAGGCTCCTGGGGAAATTGTGATCACACTGTGGTTATTTTACATACTCTCAGACGGAAACAGCAATGATATGGTTTTAAGGTAGGAAAAATTCTCCAAAAGAGAAAGAAAGAGAATGGTCAGTGCATACCCATTTCCATGAACCATTCCCGAGAAAGGTCCTCTGGCATACTAGACAGAGTTTTGTTTTCTTTTAGATGATCAGATTAAGATACAATGCCTAAGAAGGTTAGATACTATCATTAACACATGAATCAATAAAATATTTTAGAAATCATTTGGCAAAACTGCCTTTAAACCATGTTCAAGATGAGATTTGAGATTTGCAGGAAGTGAGGCACTAGAAACATCTGATTGGAAATACTTTCACATTTTCACTTTATGACTAAGTTACATAAGAATAGTATTTTCTCACTCCCATAATGAAACTGAGCTTTAGCTATTGAAAACTTCTACAATTAAAATGAAACACAATTATAAAGTCTTTCTAATAAAATGCTTGATGGATTGATAAACAACCAACTTTTGACATTATGAAATATATTTGTTAAAACTCAAATGTCGTACACCTTGAATGAATAAAGCAAAACTTACAGCTGTGATTTATTCCCTGGCCTTGTTCTCATCATCTTTCCATTCTATCTACAGCATAGACCAAGAAGCCAACTCAATGCACCAGCTGGTTAGACCAGTGAGAACAATTCAGTATCTCAGGTTCAAATGGTTATTCCAATTAATACTACCAACATGCATCCGAGGCTGAAGTTGTCATGTATTGTTCTTTAATAGATAACACCAGGTCTGATCACTTCTAAAACCTCTTTTCAAAAGACACAAAGAAAAGTTTTAGGTTGAACATGGAGGAAAAACTTGCCGACTACTTACATCCCATCCCCACCTCCTCCTTCTTGCATATTGTCCTGGTATGTTTTCCTGGAATAGATAGATGCCCATTCCATAGCATGTCTTCATATATGAGTGGATGGATGGTGAACTCAAATTACGGATGGGCCTAATTTCCAATGCAAATCCTAGTAGCAAGAGGACAATTTCCTAAATGCTTGATACCCACCAAATAATGAGACAGGGTTACGTTTTCAAGGAGTTTTTTGCACTAGTTTGGTTGTATGTTGACATCCCAATGCATGTAGGGTTTTAGCTAACTGTTGCTCACTCTTTCTGGAGTGTGTAGGAATATATGTCCTCAAGTCACCTATACTGGCCTCAGATTTTTCTCTATCCAGGGTACACTTTGTGTATTCTGACGTTCATTTGATTACAACGTGCAATGTACAATATCTGAACTACCGCAGGACACAAAACACAGTGCTATCCGGCAGCTACAGCTTCTTGGGTGACCTGCGCTGGACCACAATTTGATTCCTCAACTTCACAGACAACTTTACAGTGACACACAAAGCCTAAGCACATCTTCAGTTAGCCTGCGCTCTGAGGAATCTGCTTCCAGATAAAAATGTGGTTTCCCCCTTTCTGTCTAGCCACCAAAGCATGCTGTTTCCATCTGGTGCAGGAAGACACTTCACTGGGGAGAGGGTCCTTCTTTCTTGCAAAACCTAAACCACTCGTCAACTATCTGTGGTGTTCCCTGCTGTCACTGAACTACACCCTAGAGCCTCTGCTTCAGAGAGATTCTCTTAGGTTCTTTTCCAACCAGGGGCTCCATTCAAACTTCAGGCTAATCTTGCACAGAGTCAGGTTCCGCGAGGCACAGACTTCTAACATTTGAATAGGGGTCAGTGTTGGCTAAGTGTTCCATTTTGTAACCTATCAACGAGCGTTTTACAAAGCATGATTTATGGGAGGATACTCTCCACGCCTAGCACTCCTCACAAAAGTACAAGGGCTTCCAGAAACCTTGACAGAGAGAGAAAATTAATTATTTCTCTCCCTGCTATTAACCAGCTCCTGCCGACTATTCATCTTACGCGTGATGATGACTAATATTCGCCGAATGGCAAGCAGACGCTCTTTAAGGGAGATCATGCCAAGAATAGCCAGCTGAGCCTTGCGTTCCAATGGCAACACCGCCAGGATCCACCAGGACCACGCGGGGCCACTAGGGTTACTCTGCAAAAGAAATGAAAGCAAATCAAAATTATCACCTAAAATACAAGTCTCTTCCCCTGATACTGTCCTTCTGTTGCACCAACAAGGCAGAAGCGAGAATTAAATGTTACCTTCTATTTTAGGTCTACTTCCCATCCATTCAGCCCTTGACATACAAAGTTTGCTTTCCTACTACACATTTAAATGTGGAAGAACTCACAAAACAAAGAGCTTGCAAAGAGGAGCATCTTCCACAGGGAAATTTCATGAATTACCTGTTTCTGTTCTCTCAAAGCTTTAGTAGGGAGTATATAGCTATCGGATGAAAGGACCATAATTTTTACCTCTATTTCCAGTGTTCTGTGTTATTGTTTTTTAGTTTTAAATATACCATAAAAACTCAATATTAGGAAGGCTAAACTTATGTGTACAAGTTTGAGTATTATAATAAAGCTTTTAATAGCTATGTGATGGATGTGCACACATAGATGAAATATCTATATATGAATTATTTTTAATTATACATATGGGAATCACCATGAATTAACTGTATAAGAATTATTATGCTAACTGATAGCCTTTATTTCACATACCCAAACACACACTTCTGGATTGAGCTCTAAGCAAAGCTGGTCATAAAGTTGTTCTTGGTATTCCTGGCATTAAGAACCAAGACAACCAGGCTTCCCAGCTTCCTGTCCTGGATTCTCCTCCAATCCCACCCCAAAGGTATACAGAATCCCACCTGGGAACTAGAGAGGGTAGACTCTGGTGTCAACTTAGTTTAGGATGAGGAAGATTATACTGAAAGATCGGGAGGATTACATTTGAGACAATTTTTGGCTTACAGGAGGTCTTGAGTTTGGAGAAGACATGGCGGGGGGAGGCGTGGAAGTCAGAAATCCTCAAGAGATAGGAAAAGAACATAAAAATGAATGGGAGGGGCGCCTGGGTGGCTCAGTTGTTAAGCATCTGCCTTCAGCTCAGGTCATGATCCCAGGGTCCTGGGATCAAGCCCCATATCGGACTCCCTGCTCCGCGGGAAGCCTGCTTCTCCCTCTCCCACTCCTTGTGTTCCCTCTCTCGCTGTATCTCTCTGTCAAATAAATAAAATCTTTGAAGGAAAAAAAAAATGAATGGGAAAAGTACAAAGGACATTTCATCTTCCCCCAAACCTTCTGAGAGCTGGTCCCCCAGCCCCACTCTCTCCACAAGAAAGATGAGCATGTACAGTAAAAGGAACTACATACTCTCAGCCACAAGCCTAAACCATCCCTGCCTTCCCTGTCACCCAGAGAAGGAGGAGAGGATTCATTTGCACTTAGAACTGCTTCACAGCCTGAAGCCAGGCATTGCTTGAAAAGCCAGCTTCACGGAAAGCATGCTTGCAGAGCACCAGAGAAAGCTGGGCTGGATAGAAGGCAGGAAGGCTTCTAATTTAACGAGAGTTTGATTTTCTCTTCATTTATTCAACACCTGTTTATTAGGTACAAGGCAATATTATGTGCAAAACACGGAGTGTTCATGCCAATATACAGGATTATTACTCTCTAAATTGTAAGATTTAAACAAATGATTTAAATAGTTGGGAGAAGAAATAAAAGTACCAAAGCTGACAGGCAATCAGAATAAATTCTTTTTTGATAGAAAAGAAATTACCTTTATGCAGTACTAATCAGAAAGCATTGACTGTTTTGCTCCAAAAGGCACATGTTACTATATTAGGTGCTTCTTTGTGCTGTTGATAAATGAATTGGTTCGTAAGTGATCATGATGGAGTATATTGCATAATACTGCCTAATTTTCCTTCAGGATAATATGTCTTAGCACATTATATAGCAGCAGATAATAGCATTATAAAAGAAATAAGGAGACTATACCTGAGGCTCAGATTCTCTGTCTGGCATTAACCCAAAATGGCTTAAAATTTGTTCCTTCATGTGATCCTGAAGTGAAGTAAACCAGGAAACCGACTGTTGATAAACTGAATCATGAAGACTGGTAAGTTCCTCATATGCTGGACCTTCCACCTGATCAAGGAAAAAGGGACCACCATTTCAACAACTCATTATTACACATGAAATGCAGCGACATCTGCCGCATTTGCTAAGTGGATTCGTGGCATTTATTTCTTAGATAATTGATTCGTGTTTTAAAAACCTATATTGTGCTCAACATACAGATCTGTACTTTTCTTATACAGTGAAGATCTATCTACCCTGTCTTTCTATAACATCCTGATTTTTCTCTTAACAATATAAACATATCCCATGTTACTATGAGTAATTTTCAATGGCTACATACAATCCTCTATTTGAGAATTCACTCCACCATTCAGATAAGATATATTTAAAAATAACACAGCAATATAAATATTTATACAAAAGTAGGGGGGGTTGTTTTATTTTTGTTGTCGGTGGTGAGAGAAGGGGCCGTCATTCCCTCAGGATAGTTTCCTAGAAGTAGAATTGCCAAGTCAAAGAGTGAGACATTTAAAATATTGTATTCCATATCACCAAACTATATTCCAAAAGACATGTTACAGCTACCACACTTCTCTGCATTAGCCTTACACAGCCTTACACAGCCTGATGCTTTAGATTTACCATGCTTTGCTTCTGGCTGCCTATCTCACTGCCAAGTCATTCATTTTAAGTATGTCCCAGTCCTACTCAGGAACACCTAAGTGGGAAAAGCACTGGGCAGGGGACAAAGTGACCCCGGTGTGTTCTGGCTTCACTGCTGATTCTCATGAGCCAGTCACACAGCCTCCTGAGGGTAGGGGTTTTTCATCTACACAGTGGGAATAACCCATTCAGGTCCTTTCTGGTTATAAAATTCCAGTATCTCTAAAAACTAGGGTAAACTGAGGAATTAGATTATCATGCATACAACCATTCTCAACTTGACTTATACAAATTAAACATTCTACGTAGTAGAGGATTTTCTTTTAAAAAAAAAAAACCACCAAAATTATTTCATGTTGTAGCTATGTAAGCTCTCATTTTACATACATAGACCACTAAAAATCACCATCCACGTCAGTAACCCTCTCCTCAGATTTGTTACTAGGGCAGCAGAGGGACCCCGAAAACAATCACACTCGGTCACATCCTTTAAACCCCACTCTCCGGTCCTGTGGCGTTAGGGTTGACTCGCTGTGCTTGGCTCCCCTGCACTGCGAGCCCCTGTGCTCAGGATGACCAGAACCAGCAGCTGGAAAAGGGATGGTGCTGGTGCTGTGGGTGTGGCTCTTCTCGTGGGCATCATGAATGTACATCACGGTCCCCAAAGTGACTTCCAGTGTGATGTCAGACAGCTAAAGACTCTCACTTTCCATGTTTCTAAATGTGAACCAAAGAATTCAAAAGAGGGATACAGTAATTCCAAGGATTTCCTCTTTCTAGATGGTTGTAATGTTTTTCTGCAGGATAATTTACATACAGAAAATGCATCAGTCTTAATGATTGGCTCAGAGTATTGTCAGCCGTACACACCAGTGGGATCATGATCCTCAATAGGACAGGGGGCATTTCCATCACCCACAATGGCCCTCCCTCTACCCCCAGCCAGTCTCTGCCCTCCAACACCAGAGACAAGTGATGCCTGGTCTTGGAATTTATAAATGGAGCCACACAGCATGTGTGGTTATGTGTCTGGCTTCCCTGGCTTAGCATCACGTTGAGAGATGTATTTGTTGAGAGACCTAGGAGATTCTTCCACGTTGTTCTGTGTGTCAGCAGTTCCTTCATTTTTATTGCCAAGTAGTATTCCACTATATAAATATACTACAGTTTGTTTATCCATTCCTCTGCTGATGAGCATCTGCACTATTTCTTGGTTTTGGCAATTAATGAATAAGACTGCTAGGGACATCTTTGTACCCATCTTTCTGAGAATCCCTTCAAAACATTTTGTTAATCTGTCAAGATATGGGTTCTGATATTTCTATTAGACATATCAGTATTTCTGAAGGGGTAAGAAATCCAAACCTTTTACACTGAGCTTTAGAAGGTATTTTTAAGCACTGTTTTTTATATTATATCTCATTCTGAACTAATACCAGCATCCAGAACAGGGATGGACTACCACTCACAAGTCAAATCCTGTTCATTGCATATGTTTATGTAAATAGCATTTTATTGGAAACGGGTCATGCCACCTCATTTACAGTCTACAGCTGCTTCTGTGCTAGAATAGCAGAGCTGAGTCGTTGCAACAGAGACTGCATGACCTGGAAAGTCTATAGTACTGACCGTATGGCCCTCTGCAGGAAAGGTTTGCCAACTCCTGAGCTGGAACACTGAGACAACAAATCACAAAGGCATTTCGCAATGTGCAACAGTAAGGTAATTTTTTTGAGGAGGAGATGTGTCCACCAGCCCAACTCAGGTGAAAAATCCACTGAGGTAATAAATCGGGGAGGATATAAGTAATCTTGTCAGTAAAAATCCAACCAAGTTTTTCCACAGCACAGAGGGAAACAAGGTGACTGACCTCTAAACACGCAGCAGTAAAATAAACCTCACCTTTTCATCTTCGAGATATTCAATGTCGGCTGTGTTATAGCCATCTCTGTGACGGTGACTCAGAACTCTGAACCGACTAATCCCAATGGCATCCACAACCGAACTCCCATCAGGAAACGTTCTGACGTCCTTAATCTCCAGCATGCAGCCGTACTCTGAAATTCTGACAGGACAGTCGGGAGAAATGACCACGATTTTAAAAATGCAGAAGATCCAAACAAAACTAATGGTGTCTCCACATGGGAATAGCAAGCTTATTTTCTCTAAGAGACACCTGCAGATGATTCCTTCTGTTAAATGCAAAACATACGGGTTTGCTAGGGCTGCAGTGGTTCAAATAAGCTAGTGCTTTGGAAGGACCTGAGAGGTCCCCTTGGTCAGGGCACCGGCAGGGGGTACAGAGAGCACACGGTATGTCCAGAGGCCGCCATGCCACTCACAGATTCTGCTCCCTCCTTCCCCATTTCCACTGATGCCGGCCAGCTCTGTCCTTCCCAACAAACCGCTATGGAAAGTCATCTACAGTCACTGCCTTCATCTCCTGCTCCCCAGCAGATCTCCATACCCCACCATTCCACTGAAATGACCCCACTGGAAGTCACACATGACTCTGGCATGAGCCTGCTGATCTGTCACTGACCCAACACCCTCTGCTGCTCTCTGTGGCGCTCCCTGACCAGTGCAGCCCTTTTCAGCTGCCTCCCTCCTCCACATGTCCCTCACACACAGGGCCCGCCCAGGGTGTCGTCCTTGCTCCAAAGCTGTCCCCTGTGATCTTAACCACTCTCACTCTTGTAACTCTCATCCGCTTCCTGAGGAGACTGAGCCCATTACATGTCAAGCATCACATGGAGCGGTTTATAATATGTACTCATTCAAGCCTCACAAAAACAGGAAAGTTTAAAAAAATCAAACAACTTATGTAAGGCCATGGCAAGATTTAGACCTGAGATCTGAACCCAAGGCTACCTAATTCTAAAGTGAAAGAACAACTTCATTACATACCTTCAAGTGAACGATGACTGACGGTTCCCAAGTCACATGCCTGTAAGGCTGGACACCTCTGCTTGGATCTCTCCTAAAACTCTCTCTTCCTGCTTATCTAACAAGGCTATCTTATCCATAGCCGGTGGCACTGACGGAGGTGCCCTGAAGATTCCCTTCAAGGGAGGACTTCCTGCCCCAGCCATCAGCAGACAAATGCCTTCAAATGTCAGCTCTTCCAAAGCCTGTCTCAGCTACAGAAACTCTCTTTCCAATGAGCATCCTGCCCTGTCTGTGGACAAGAACTTGTGAATGAAGGCAAATCCTCCTTGCATCTGTAACTCCCAGAGCATCTGGACTCTCATGCTTGTCCACATGAGGTCATTAGAACATGGCCCCCAGAAAACTAGCTGAATTCTTCCTACCCACTTGCAGGTCTCCTCCTGGGCTCTGCCAAAGGTAAGCCAGGCTTTTGTCTACTGCTCTCCCTGGAGGGACTTGCCTTTCCTCACTTACTATGAGCAACCTCTGCTCACCAACAGGTTCAAGAAACTTATATCCTAGAGTTTGTCTGGAGTAATGCTCTTCTTAGTGTTCTGTATCCTTCATGGAAGCAGAACTTCTGGAACTTGTTTTTTCACTCTGCTTTTGCTGATTTTGATGGATCACATTTTAATATATTCAAATGTATTTATCTCTTCTTCCATGCTATGTGCTCTCAGCATCTTGTACAAAAAAAAAATCTTTTCCTTTTCCTAATTATAGTCTCCAATGTTTTCTCTTAAAATTTTTATATGTTGTTTTTCATACTGAGAATGTAAATAACATGTGTTAATTTGTGTATATGGTGCAAGGCAGAGAAAAGATTGTTTTTCTCCATCTGGACTGCCCACTAATTTTCTAAGCACTTTTTAAGTGAGCAGCTTGCCTTTTCTCACAAAATTATATGTAAATATGGGGTCCATAAATGAGCGGATCTGTTCCTTATCTCCATATTCTGTTCCAGTGATCTACTTACCAGGACTCTAAGTTTATTATCAGAGTGTTCTCTCTTCTTACTCAACTGACTTCTTCAAAACTATCACGGTTTTGATCTTTTACTTTTCCATAATAATTCTAAAAATCAGCTTGAACAATTCCATGAAAAACCCCTCTTGGAATGTTGACTGAAACTCCTTTAGATTTATAGACTAATTTGGGTAAAACTGACATTTCTATGACATCAAAGTCTATGCATCCATCCATGGATATGGTATTTCTCTCCATTTATTTAGATCTTCCTGAATATTTTTCAATAAAGCTGTAGATTTTTTTTCCATAAAGGTCCTATACATATCTTTAAAAAGATCTGTTCTGGGGGGCCTGGGTGGCTCAGTCAGTTGAGCGTCTGCCTTCGGCTTGGGTCATGATCCCAGGGTCCTGGGATCGAGCCCCACATCGGGCTCCCTGCTCAGGGGAGAGCCTGCTTCTCCCTCTCAGTCTGCCCGCCTCTCTGCCCACTTGTGCTCTCTCCATCAAATAAATAAATAAAATCTTTAAAAAATAAAAAAAGATCTGTTCCTAGGTATATATGGTGGAAACTAGTGGATAGTCCTACATATCCATTCTCCCTTTCTTCCTGGGCACATGGGTGGGCTACATTTCCCAGCCTCCACTGCAGTAGGTGTGAGCAACAGTGATATGTATCCCTTTTCTTCAGAATCCTTCCAGAGCATATGTGCCTCTTCTACCAGCTACAACTTGCATGTAGTGACCTTATCATAACCATGCAGTAATGACAAAGCCCTAGGGGATAAGGAAGCCAACAGATGGGAAGGACCCAGAGTCTCCAGAGCAGCCATGGAGGGGAGCTGCCTGCCAATTTGATGTACAACGAGGAGAGGTAAAAACTTAAGAGCTGGGTTGTTATAAGACTGAAATTTGTCTGGCTGTGTAGGTGGAGGCTTCAATTTTTTAGCAAATTTTTTAGACCTTAAAAGTTAGACTGGATTTGTTTGCATGATGATGAACTAGAAGAGAATTACAGGCAGAGAGAAGCATGAATATGAACTGTATTTAGAGAAAGGCAAATAATATGGTAGTGGACTAGCAAGTATAATATCTGAAAGAAAGGAGTAGGAGATGAGGCTAGAAAAAAGGCTGGGACCACATCATAGATAGCCTCAGACTTAGACCTTGTTGTGTAATGGGAGCTACCGGAAGTTTTCAACATCATCTTAAATTGTTCTTCGAGAAAAATAACAAGTTATGTATTTATTTAAGACCCTCTGAATGCTGACAGTTCTTACCCTGCGTGCTCAGCAGACAGACACATGCCAAACCGTTTGGTGCCAGTTTCCATGCATCTTCTTATCATAAGCCGATAGCGGGGCTCAAAGACATGAAGTGGACACGGGACCGTGGGGAAGGCCATGGCACACACAAAGATGGGGACATCTCTGGTCAGACTGTTGGGTGAGGGAAAATGTAAACTTAGAAGTAGGAGCAGTTAGAAACAAAAGGGAATATTAGTCACTGTAAAATAGAAAAAGCTAGCCAACCTCAATTTTCTCATTTACAACATAAAACCCTCAGGCCTGTCTCAGTCTTTAGTGGGGAAAGGAAGCCAAGGACCACCTCATGAGAAAGTTCTCAGCTTACCAGGTTTCCTGCCAAGCCGGTCTTATTTAATTTGATGAGACAGAACATGCTGAATTGTATTAACTTACTTGGAAAAAGTTATAGCTTACGACTATGATAAAAAAAAGTTCTAATGACCTTGAGGTCACTATGCTAAGTGAAATCAGTCAGAAAAATGAATACTGCATGACCTCACTTACAAGTGGAATCTTAAAAAAAGAACAAAACCAAGTTCATAGATACAGACAAAAGATTGGTGTTTGCCAGAGGCTGAGGTGGGGTGGGGGATGGGTGAAGGGGGTCAAAGGTACAAGCTTCCAGCTGCAAAATATGTTAAGTCCTGGGGATGTAATGCACAGCATGGTGACTACAGCTAATCATACTGCATTGCATATTTGAAAGTTGATAACAGAATGGGTCTTAAAAGTTCTCACCACAAGAAAAAAAATTTGCTAACTATGTATAGTGATGGACGTTAAGACTTATTGTGGTGGTCATTTTGCAATATATATAAATATTAAAGCATTATGTTATGTACCTGAAATTCATACAGTGCTATGCATCAATTTTACCTCAATAAAAATAAATAAGAAGAAGAGAAAAAAGTTCTGATAAAAGCAAAAACTACACAGTAGTCAAAGGTAATGAGTTCTGAATAAAAAAGAGTGGAAGAATTATAAGACCTCAATAGTTAAAGTTTGCTACAACACACAACTCTAATCACTCTATTTATTTATTTATTTTTATTCTTATGTTAATCCCCATACATTACATCATTAGTTTTAGATGAAGTGTTCCATGATTCATTGTTTGTGCATAACAACTCTAATCACTTTAAAAGATAAATACACCTGTCAAGACTATTTCAAGGGGTAAACCTGTTTTCCCTCCTGTTTCTATATACTGTGCCTTTTCAATTCTGAAAAATTCAGTACCACTTACTTAGATACAAAAAGCAACTACATAATTTTGTGAAGACACAATTTTTTTTTAAAGTGGGCTCCATATCCAGGATGGGGTCCAACATGGGGCTCGAACTCATGACCCCGAGATCGAGACCTGAGCTGAGATCAAGAGTCAGACACGTAACTGACTGAGCCACCCAGGGGCCCCATGAGGACACACTTTTGAAATATTTCTTATGACCCCTTTCAATCAAATTTCCATAAACTCTTTGCAATTAATTTTTTTTTTCTATTTTTAGGTCTAATTTCTCTGCCAAGGGGGGGATAAAAACCTGAGATAAAGCTATGAATGCAAAGGTTTCCTTCTTTAATCTGAACTCAAAACCAAGTACATACAACATGAGGACTTACTTTGACAGTTCTGTCATTTCTTCATCATAAATTCTCTTCCTATCAGAGAGTTCATCAGATAAATATCGAAATATTAATTCTTCGGCCAAAATAGTTATATTAAAATTTCTGCTTGCCAACAACTGTAACAAAAGGAAATGTTAAATAATACCACATGGTAATTAATTCTAGAGTATAGAGCACTCTGTCCCCAGTAGTAAAGGTCAACAAGGGGGGAGAGGGATAGAGTCTCCGGGAAGACAAAAGGATGGGGATGGAGAGCCGGGAGGTCAGCCAGCCTGGGGTAGGGACAGGGGCAGGGCAGTTCCTCCTATCTGAGAAAAAGGTAGGAGGAGAAGGTGTTCATCACCTGGAGGAAGGATGAGTGAATCCCAGCCTTGCTGGCTTCTGCATTCTCAATCATGTATCACAATGTTAGGGAAGGGAGAGGAAGTGAGTAGGATATGTTGCAAAAGAAGAGAAATGGGAAATAATCACCCGAGAAAGTGGAAAATTGAAGCTACTAGAGAAGCATAGTAAGAATGACTACTAACGTTTTGAGTCTAAGATTTAAGACTGTGAATTTAAACTGAAACCAATCTTCCCAATTTTGTGGCTTTTTCTCTAGCTTTGCTTTGTTACTTAAATGGACATGTGCGAAAGGCAGAGTTGACTTTATTTGGATTGGGAAAGGGACTGAGGGACCAAGGAATCAGAGCTGGATGTAAAGGGAAATAGGTGGAAACTGAATTAAAATGTGCCAGGATCCCGGTGGCTGGAAGGGTCAAATGTAGCTGAAGATCTATATTACTCTGTGTGTGTGTGTGCACCACTTTTATCTTAGGCATATGAATTTGCAAATAATAGCTCTTTTCCCTAACGTCCTAATATATATCAGGTACCAATTACAGGTGTTTCATATAAATGAAGTTAGGCCTTGAAATAGCCCTATCCCAGAAGTATCATCTACAATGTACTAATAAAGAAGAGGGGTCTCAGAGGGCCACAGTGGCACCAGGACCGTGGGACTGGTAGGTCTCAATGTGAAGGTGTTGCTTTGTTAACATGCTGCATTTCTGGGTTTGTGCTACAGATTTCTAACAGTTACATCTGGGCAAGTCCTAGACATACTGCCATGTCTCCCTTTAGCTTGTGTGAAACAAGCTACGTGTATTGCTGTCACTAAGAACTAGGAGTTCAGCCTCGGGGACACAACTGTGTTTGAGGCCCTCGGTAACAGAATAACCAGCAGAAACAAGTTTAACTTAATTCACAGTAAGTATTATTAATGACATCCATATTTTATACTGTTAGTTTATGGCACCATTTACTGAAGAGTAATATAATTTGCTTTACTTGGCATTACGTTACCCAAGACTTCTGTGCATACCTAGATAGTTGATGATTCGTGTTTATAATAATGTATGTGAGAAAGTCTAAGCTCATGAAGGGGTTTCTGCATCAAAGAAAGAGAGAGGAATGATTTTTAATTTTAGTTGGTTTCGTTATATTCCAAATTCTGCAGCACTGGCAATCTATGCAGAATTTGCACTTAACCATTCACTCGTTCATTCAATCATTCATTCAGAATGGATTTCCTGAACCTCTACTGTGTGTTCTGGCCCCTGGAGACAGAGTGAAAACAAGACAGAAGTCCTCTCTGTCCCTAAGGAGCTTATATTACAGTGCCAACCTCAACGCACTAATCACACAGCCCCCACCAGAGAGCACTGAACATGGAAGTGAACAAAGGGTCTGTGTTACACACAGTAGTCATAAAGACATGCATTTTACTGTCTGAGAATCAACAAGCCACCTCCAGGCCCACCAGCCCAGACAAGCATGGGTACGACAAGGTAACAGGCCAGATGCTCTGCCGCCGTTAGCAAGAAGAGAGAGCAAACACAGTGCAATGGACCTGCCGAGGAACTGCCAGAGGAAACTGCTACTCAGAAAGCACTGTCATCTATGACACATGGCACATAGTACAATGAATCATATTCATGATGAGAGCCCTGATTAACTTAGAGAGTTCCAGCATGTATGCAATTTAAAAAAGCAAGTATATACATAGAATGATTTAGAAAGGTCTCAATTATAACTTATTTTAACAAACTTTGGCAGTGAACTATGTTACAATTATTCAAAAATTCACATAAGTATAATATCTCCTTTACCATATCAAATTCAAAAATAAATTTTACTGGACATTTGTTTTTAAAAAACCGCTTTAGCCTAGGGCACCTAGGTGGCTCAGTCCCTTAAGCGTCTGACTCTGATTTCGGCTCGGGTCATGATCTCAGGGTCTTGAGATCAAGCTCCGCATCAGACTCCGCGCTCAGCGGGGAGTCTGCTTGAGATTCTCTCTCTCCCTCTCTCCTTATGCCCTCCTTCCCCAGCTTACACCCGCACATGCACACACTCTCTTTCTCTCTAAAAATAGACAAATCTTTAAAAAACCACTTTGTCCCACTTAAAATGCATTAAGTGAGTTTAATCTCTAGTAGTAATTAAGGCAAATATAATTAGTATCATTTTATGGATTAAAAACCCCCTCCCCCCCACAAGAGGTTAAATAACTTGCTTCGTGGAAGGTTAGTGGCACCAGGGCCCAATAGAGTTGATACATATTCACAATTTGAAAAGTTGATCAGAAGAGCTTTAAAAGCTTTTAAGTGTTGTTCATTGTATTTACCATACCTAAGGATGGATTTAACAGTTTATTTTTGAGTTAGACATAACTAAATAGCTTCCCTCCATGGAATCTTAAGTACTACTGGCTTTGATTACAGACAAAAGACACAACTGACAGCACACCAAAGGGATTTCCTGGTAGTCAGAACTGATCAAGTCTTCGATCCCATGCAAAACTGAGTACTGCAATATGACTTCACCTTGAGATGAGGTAAAGGAAAGAATCCTTGGCACGTTATTAAGTGCGCCATAATGTTATCTCAACCCTTTAGGATTAACATATGGCGAGGACTCAGTAATATTATCTCAACTATTTATAACTAACACATTGTAAGAGCTCCAATTATGTTACCTGTTTTCAGTATATCTCAACTATAATTCATGCCTGAAAATTTCCCTGACATTTAATTGTTTCTGCATCTAAACTTCCTTTGTGTACTTTTTGAGAAATCAGATAGGAAAAAGACCTATCTTTGACTGGAGAAATCCAACTTTCTTTAGTAAATGGGTAGTGGAAGCAAAGCCAACCCCAGAAATGAGCATCTACTGAGGGATGAGAGGAGTGGCTGAACGGTCCTGTTGTTTCAGAAGAAATACTTACTTCTGAGAGTTTTTCTTTACACAGTGGACAATGTGGGGCATGGTCGAGGCAGCGTTCAAGGCATTTCAGGCAAAACGTATGTCCACATGGTGTAGTGACAGGCTCAAAGAGCAACCTGGAAAATATACCTGAGTTTTTAGCCAAAAATGTCCAGAAGAGATTTTTAATAATCTATTTATTTTCTAAGAATTCCTTAAGATAATTCCCTTACAGCTGTAGAAATTACAGATATCCATTTCCATTGAGATTTTCCTTATCAAATTTTTTGAAAATAAATCACTTATTACTAAGGTATACGTAATTTCTCTGAAAATAAAAAGCCCATTATGTTTAGGATATCCAATTCAGAAAGGATGAGGTTTTCAAACAGTTGCACAGGTTCTCTGTCATCCTACCTCATGCAAAGGGCACACTCAAAGTCAGTTACATCTATGGAGAGCTCTGGACTTTCTCCTATGTTAGAGGTCATGTTCCTTTGAGGTGAGGAATCTGCCTCTGAAAAAGTTTAAAATGCTATAATTAACATTGCTCATCTGGACAAGAGCATGCAGCATCTGCATTTCCTCTGGCTAAAATGTGTTACACCAATATAACAAATCATGCTGGGCAGGAATAGTTCCTATCAGATTAAGCATATATAACAATAATCTATCTGGACAGTGAGCATGAATAAAAGTTAAAGTTATAACTAAATTTTCCCTATTCCTGACTATGAAGTTTTTGTAGGATTAACAATTTTAAACTGTTCTATAATCATAAAGCTGATATATTCCTTTCATTATTAATTTTAAACTATCCGTATAAAATTTTTTTTAAATATATTGAATATTAGCTAACATTCTATCACTCTGGAGTCATACAACTCCATGACAAAATAACTTACTGACCTTTCTTGGGAATTTTCCCAGGGCCATTCAGGTCATGCACATCCTCCAAATCATTTGGAAATTGTCTCTTTAAACTGGTGCTGGGTGCTACTGGAAGGATACTCTCCAACACTTCTTTATCCTCTTCAAAGTGCAGACCCAGTGTAAAATACAAAACTGAAGAATTGGTATTTCTAAACACATCAGATTTCTCAGATGGATTCTGGTTAAGTAGGAAAAAAGAACCCTGAATATTAAAGAAATCATAGCATAAGAGAAAACAATATTCATGTAGTAGCTTTTCTTAGAAATCTCTGGAAAAAAGAGGGCTTATGCTCTTCCTTCATGATTGGTTTCATCTATTAACTTCCAAGACGAGCTTTACACTTCCCATGGTAAAATACAGAATAATTCTTTTTGAGACAGATCAACTGAACATCAGTCTTCATATATGCAAACCAACCCTCTGTTTTCTTTTGTCCAAGCCAAAATAAATTCGAGTCTCCTGATGCCTGGGGTTCTCAATGTGTGATGTCCTGAACGTATCTACATGTTTCTTTCAATCATTTTCATTACTTCCACCAGCTTCCTTTAAAACTTAAAAACTTAAAAACTTTCAGGTTGAGGAGCTAGAACCGGTCTTGAGAAGTACTTCCAACTAACATAACGCCACAGTCTGAATAACTTATAAGTGTTCAAAATTAAGGCATTACATAAAGCTTAATCAAGATAATCCTGACAAACACATGCACTTCATACCTTAGAACACCCTGCACTACCACCTTCTTCCAGAGGCTGGGTATTTACATGGCTGGCACACTGAGCCTTTAGCCTGCTGTTCAATATTCTGCTTTGGATGGAAGATGTCAAATTCTGAGGCACATTTTCTGAAGCTGGAAAAAACACCTCGCACATTACCTATAAAATTTCCAAGAAGAAAAAAACAATTTTAAAACACTTTTGAAGAATACATAATATGTCTTAAAGATCCAAAGGAAACTCTAAGGCCAAATAGGCCTAACACATTGAAAAGAATATTTACCATATTCCAACTGTCACTATTTCAAAACTCAAGTTTCTAGAACCATAATCAATGCTTTAGGCAGTTTAGCTACCAGTCCCTTTCCAGCTTAGTCTTACCAATTATAAAATATGAGTATTACCAGTTCTTTCTGTCTGGTCCTTACATATCTGCTACAGAAAGTCATCCTTAAAAGTCTCATGGTTAAGAGAGAAAAGTGGGGTGTAGAGGTTGTGGGGATCCTAAATTAAATCCAAGTTGTGATCACCCACAACTGAGATATTTCTAGAGGAACTGCTCAACTTACAAGAGAACCAGAAGAGCCGCCTAGTAAAGAACTTCAAAGGAAGCTCGGGTGAAGAGCCATAATTCTAGTTCAAGAGCCATGGACTAGCCTCTGGTGGTGGTGGGAAGTGACTGCCAGTCACTTGATGGTCCTGCCAAACCTCATGGACTCAGCTGAATCCAAAGGCTTAAGAGAGGTATAAAGGAGTGACCGAAACCCAATAAAGAACCTGCCACTGTTCTTCATGTGACAGATCAGTGCACCAGTACCCATGAGCCCTGTATCAAGAAGGAACAGCACTCAGCAGGGACATCAGTGTCCTCAGCACTGGCTCTGGGGGGCTCCAGTAAAGCAGCAGAAGGCTGCCTGGGAGATTACATTTCACGAGCATCAACAGGCTGGCAGTGTTGGGGCACTGAGATAGAAGACATCTACCCCTCACAGAATGCTACAGGGAAAAACATCATATCTGAAATAGCACCAGACAGACAAGGAGCATCCCAAACATCACCAGGCCTAGATTCTGGCCCTGGGACCTTTGTAAATCCGCTTAAGTTTGAGCTCAGGCTGAATTTCTTAAGCTGTTGTAAAGAGCAGTTGAGATACGTTTTAAGATTCTTGTCAAATTTGCAGGTGGGACAAAGCAGGCAGGGATAGAAGAGCCGATGTTAAGATTGAGTATTATTCTGACAAGTTGAAACAACGGCCAAAACCCAGAAGTGATAATTTGACAGCATTAACAAAGACCAATCCACTGCACAATACAAGGATCAAAAGTATTGCTAGAAAGTTCTCACTGAAAACAAAAAAAGATCTAGGTGTTTGGGCTAACCCAGGTTCTAATAGGAGCCAACAGTGTGACGGTATTAGGCTAAAAATAAACAAACACGCTTCATGATATGAACACAAGGGAAGGTAAAAGTTCCCCTCGTGTGGCTGTCAGATGTGGATGCTGAGGTACACTAGAATGCATCCAGAGGAGGAAACCTTACAACCTTGTTCCATGAGAAAAGGATGTTCAGTCCAAAGAAAGACTTAGGGCAAAGATAACAGCCAATCTCAAATATCTAAGGTGGTTTAAAATGGAGGAGGAAGAACAGATTCATTCCCTCTTGCTCCAGAAAATAAAACTAGCCTGTAAAGTGGAAATTGCAAGGTAAATGTATGAAAGAAGTCAGCAATGAATAGTGCTAAAATAGGGAAACACTGACATAAAAACAAGAACTCGTGGTCACTGGAAGTGCTAAGACTAACTATTGTACAGGCTCTTATATATGGGATGGGTTCCCACAGTAAATGTGACTCAATGACCTCTAATAAGACTGGGTTAAAGACCTGCATCATGCTGGTGAAGCTTTGCTGGCAATTTCAAGTCAACCTTTCCAGCTGAACTGCTATATTTTGTATATTATCACAATGTCTTTTATAGGTCTCCTATACAAACTATAATGCTTGAAATTACAACTCTAAGAAAACTCACTTTGCCTCCACTAATCTCACACATTGACCCTGCCTCCTTAGCCCATGTCATTATCCCAGCAGAACGGAGCTGTGCAAAGCTGTCTCATGAAACATTGTGCTTTATCCCTGGATGAAAGATATCAAACGTGTGAAACTCATGATCATTCCTGTGTGCTTTTAATCACATTGTCATGAATATTCAGAACTATATTATTTGTTTATTTGACATGCAGGAATTACTCAGCATGGACATAAAGGCTATATAAATGAGACTTAAGAAAGAATTCGTTTAAAGAAAATCACACCTTCTGTGCTTCTTTCTTCACTGAGTTACATTCAGGATTTAAAGCAAGGCAGTAGAGAAACTCCTTTAACACTTCTTTACTTCTTCCCAATCCAGAAAGAGCCTGAGCCTTCATATGATGCCCCTGGATTCATCAAAAGACAAGACACACATTTTTAAAAAGTGTGATTATATACTTGCATACAAAGGGCCCCGAAAAAAACTCATTAGGACTACTGAATTTTCATATCAGCTAGAATAAACAAAAACCCCCCAAGGATGGCTCTAGCTCTACTACCTTGGAACCTGAGGAAATCCGAATATCTCATAAACACAATCTATAAGCAGAACACAGGAGTCACCAGACTAGGAATTTAAGCCCAAGGCAGTTTTAAGGGCCATGCTAAGTAAGAGAAGTGACTATCTACCAATTTTAAATACACTCAGTCATCACAGATCACAACCATGTTCCTGTCTTCAAAGAACATAGTCTTGTGAGAGAAGACCGACATGACAAGAAATACCTATAACACAAAGCATAACATACAAATTACTAAAACAGAAATAAAGTGCAATATGGGATCAGTATTATCCACCAGAATTTTTTTTTTTTTGGGTGAATGCAGTATTTTCTCAAATCATTGTAAACATTATAATTTGTTTTATCAATTCATGTATTACATTTCCATTTGGGTCAGTCCTGATCATGCATTTTAGTCTTTTTCTTCTTTATTTTATTGAATTTTTTCTTGTTAATCCCTGTTTCTTCATTCATATATATATTTTTTAAGATTTTATTTATTTATTTGACAGAGAGAGACACAGCGAGAGAGGGAACACAAGCAGGGGGAATGGGAGAGGGAGAAGCAGGCTTCTCGCTGAGCAGGGAGCCCGATGCGGGGCTCGATCCCAGGACCCTGGGATCATGACCTGAGCCAAAGGCAGATGCTTAAGCATCTGGGCCACGCAGGCACCCCTTCATTCATATTTTTAAAAGATGTACTGTTTCCAACTGGTTTTGTCTCATGTTGAGCCAGACCTTGACTTCATAGACTTCATTGCTGAATGGAAGACTTTTTGGATCCTTCATCTACATGAGGGAGATCTATTTGAGAGGTTTTATTTTCAGGTGTGTGGTAGGGAAGCCAGGCCTTAGGCAGGGAGCCCCATGCATCAGGATTTAGAGGGGCTTACTTAGGGCGGGGTGGAGGGGGGAACCTGCTGCATGCATTGGCAGCCACACTTGCCCCAAGCAGTTTGTCCAAATTCTTTGCAGGAGGTGGAGGCGGGGCATTATGATTTTTTTTTTTTTTTTTTTGCCCCACTACTGTTCTGCATGGCGGAGTGAACTGGCATGTCAAGCAAACATCCTTTCTTATTCCTTTCCCAAGAGCTTAAATTGAATCTTCTCTGGAGTTTGCATTAGGACATGAGCTCAGCTCCCATTTGAACTATAATGTTCTCTGCTTTTTCATCCATTCACCTGCATTCCAAAAATTTGCTGAGCTTTCTCATCTCATAAATATTCCCTATTCTCTTCCGTGATGGACTTATGGAGGTATAATTTATATATAATAAAATGCCACCAACTTTAAAGGTACAATATAGGACTTTTGACAAATATATACAGTGTGTAAGTACAACCACAATCATGACGTAGCACATTTCCATCACCCCAGAAAGTTCTCACATGCCCTTCAAAGTCAATCCTAACCTCTCTCCAAGTCCAGGAACCACTGATCTGTCACTAGAGTTTTGCCTTTTTGGGAATTTCATATAAATGAAATCACACATGTATTTCATTGATCATTTCTGTTGTCTCTCTAGTCTCTATTTTGTTTCTGCTCTAATTTTTATTCCTTTTGCTAAATTTGGACTTTTTTTTTCCTAGTTACTTGAGGAATAAGATTAAGTTGTTTGAGATCTTTATTTTATTAATGTAGGTGTAAACCTCCCTATTAGAACTATTTCTGCTGCATCTGATAAGTTTTGGTATGTGTGTTTCCATTTCCCTTTGTCTCAAGATTTTTTTATTTCTCCTTTGATTTCTTCTTTGACTCATTGGTTGTTTGGAAGTCTGTTGTTTCATTTCCACATATTTGTGATTTTTCCAGCTTTCTTTCTGTTACTATTTCTAGTTTTCGTGCCATTGTGTCTGGAAAAGATACTTGATAAGATTTCAATCTTCTTAAATTCGTTAAGACTTGTTTGGTGACCTAACATATGATCCATCCTGGAGAATGTTCTGTTTGCTCTTGAAACAATATATATTTTGCTGCTCTTGGGTGGAATATTCTGTATGTATCTATCAGATCCATTTGGCCTGAAATATAGTCCAAGTCCATTATTTCCTTGCTGGTTTTCTGTCTGGACAATGTGGATTCGAGGGGGAAAGATTTTCATCTCAAGTTGGCTGCAAGGGCACCAGCTGGCTAGGGTGCGGTAGCATAGTGTCCATGCAGATCTGGCAACTGCGTCCAACACTGGCAAAGGCTGTGGGAATCCTTAGCAGCCGAGACTGTGGGCCTCCTGCTGGTGCCTGTGACAGCAGTGACGGCTAGGGCTGTTGGGGGGAAAGCCTGCTGGGATCCTCCTGTTGTACTTTGTCCATGGGTGTTGGCGACAGTCCTGGTGTGCTGGCATTCACAGCAGCAGAGAAGCTGGGGTCACAGGCTCAGTGACAGGTAGAACTACCTCAGCCCATGGTCTGGGACACAGACTCACTTGCTGTGACAATAGTATCTGAGAGGTAAGAGTGTGTGCAGATCACCCATGGAACCGGGATCGGGGTCTCTGGAGCTCCTTGCTGTGACATGAGTTTAGGGGGATAATGGGGAGGGGGAGAGATGCATCAACAGATAGCCCAGGGATAACAAGGCACAGAGGTACCCCAATTCAGGACCAAGGGGGTGGGATACACAGCAATGGCAGCATGACCCAGTGGTAGCAGGTCAAAGCTGTCACTTGGGACCCAGGATGAAGGGCACAGAGCAGCAGACGCTCAGGTTTGAAACGATGGGTCAGCGTCAGGGCTTCAGACTGAGGGAGGGGGTGACAACACAGAGGCAGCTCTGCTTCCTGTAGATGGTGAGGCCCTGTGGCATTCCAGTCCTGGAGAACAGGGCACAGCAGTAACTTGGGCCCCAGTGGTCAGATGTCACCACAGCAACAGCATCAGCCCTGGGAAGGAGACCCTGAGGCAGGATTCTGGGCACTTCTATCAGCGGGGTTCAGCATTGGTTAAGAGTATTGGGGTCCTCAGTAGCAAAGGCTGCAGAAGCTCATGGCAATGACAAGGACTCCAAGAGTCCTCCGGTTCTCTTTACCTCATGGGGTGAAATCCTTCTGAGGGGACACTTCTCAGTGTTGAGCTGCTCTGGACTGGGGATTGGAGTGATACAGGTAAAATACTTCCTACACTTTTCTTTGTGGCCACCCTTAGTTTTGGGGCTCTACAGGGTTTCTACTCCTGCTTTACTGCAGTCCAGAGCTTTCCCAGAGGTGTTTTCATTGGTTTATAGTTGTTTATTTATTGCTTTTGTTGATTTTGTGGGGGAAATGAGTGTTGGGACCCCCTAGGCTGCCATCTTGCTGATAACTTCTGTTTACATATTGATGGACCTATGGGTTATTTTCAGTCTTTGACTATTATGAATTAAGCTGTTATAAATATTATATTAACATCTTTTTACTTCTCTCGGGAAAATAACTAAGAGCACGATTGTTAGGTCACATAGGAAGTGTATGTTTAACTTTAAAGAAACTTCTGAACTGTCTTCCATTGTGGCTCTGTACTGTTTTGCATTCCCACCGCATTGTGTAAGGGTTTCAGTTGTTGGACATCCTCGTCCACGCTTAGTATGGTCATTCTTTTAAGTTTAAGCCATTTTAGTGGGTATATAGTGGTATCTCCTTGAGGTTTTAATTTGCATTTTCCTAATGACTAATGATGTGGAGCCTCTTTTGATGTGTTCAGTTGATATTCCTATGTCTTCTTTTTTTTTTTTTAAAGATTGTTTTTATTTATTTATTTGACAGAGAGATAGACAGAAGAGCACAAGCAGAGGGAGTGGCAGAGGGAGAGGGAGAAGCAGGCTTTGCACTGAGCAGGGAACCCGATGCGGGACTCGATCCCAGGACCCTGAGATCATGACCTGAGCCAAAGGCAGATGCTTAACCATCTGAGCCACCCAGGCGCCCTCCTATGTCTTCTTTAGTGAAGTATCTGTCCTTGCCCATTACTTAACTGGGTTATTTACATTATGATTGAGTTGGTAAGTGTTCTTTATATATGCTGTATACAGATGTATGGCGTACCAGATATATGTCTTGCAAATATTTTCTCCCATTCTGTTTGCTGTTTTGTTTTTGTAGCATTATCTTTTGAAGAACAGAGTTTTCAGTTTTGATGAAGACCAATTTACTTTTTCTTTTACAATTTGTCCTGTGTCCTGGATAAGAAATCTTTGCTTTACAAAAAGTGTCAGAGATTTTTATATTTTGTTTCAGATATGCTTTAGTTATAGACTATATGTTTAAGTCGATGCTCCATTTTGAATTAATTTTAATATATGATGTAAGGAAAGGGTTGAGGTTCATTTTTTTTTTTTGCAAATAGATACCCAATTTTCTCCTACTAAAAAATGAGAAAGTTATTCTTTTCCTATAGAGTTATCTTTGCACTATTGTAAAAAACTAATTCACCACTTATGTGTAGGTCTATTTCTTTACTGTCTTCTGTTTTAGTAATCTACACAGTTCTCAATACCGTAGCTTTATAGTAAGTCTTGGTATCAGGTAGTGTATTCCCTGCAACTCCATTCTTATTTTTTAAAATTGTTTTGGCTCTTCTGTCCCTTGTATTTCCATAAATGTGTGTGTGTGTATACATATATACACATACGTATATGTATATTTTAAAGCCAATTTCCCAAATTCTGCAAAGAAGAATACCAGAATTTTAATTGGAACTGTTGTTTTTTGGGGAATCTGTCATCTTACTAACATTGAGTATTCTGAACCTGGTACGCATTTATACTTATTTAAGTGATACTTCATTTCTCTCAGCAATGTTTTGTAGTTTTCAGTATATAGATTTTGTAGGTACTTTGTTAACTTTATCCCTAAGTATGTCATGTTTTTTTAAACTATTGTAATAGTATTATTTTTAAATTTTCATTTTTATAATTGTTTCTTGTTGCTTAGTAGAATATGATTGGTTTCATTTTTGCATACCACCTTGTATCCTGCAAGCTTTTTGTAAATTTCTTGAGATTTCCTCACAATTATGTCAACTGTGAATAGACAGTATTGCATTTTCCTTTCCATTCATTATGTATGCCTTTTATTTCTTTTCTTTTTTGTTTTTGGTTTTGTTTTACCATTTTGGCTAGTACCTCCAGTATCTTATTGTGGTAAAAGCAAACACCTTTTATTTTTCTTGGTCTTAGCAGAAAGGCACTCCATTTCCTACCATTAAGAATGATGTTTGCGGGTGCCTGGGTGGCTCAGTTGGTTAAGTGACTGCCTTCGGCTCAGATCATGATCCTGGAGTGCTGGGATCGAGTCCCACGTCAGGCTCCCTGCTCAGCAGGGAGTCTGCCTCTCTCTCTGATCCTCCCCCCTCTCATGCTCTCTATCTCATTCTCTCTCTCAAATAAATAAATAAATAAATAGATAGATAAATAAATAAATAAATAAATAAATATGATGTTTGCTATAAGGGTTTTCACAGATAGTGGTTATCAGATTGAGGAAATCCCCTGCTATTTCTAGTTCATACAAAGTTTTTAACATGAAGGGCATTCAATTTTATCAAGTGCTTTACCTTCATTTATTGCATTTTTTCAGTCTGTCAATACAAATTGATTTTCAAATGAGATGATGACAGGTATCAGTGTGAAGTTTGTTTGTTTTTTTAATGTTTTTGCCTGGTTTTGTTATCACAATAATGCTGTTCTCATAAAATAAGTGTTCCCCCTTTTCTGTTTTCCAGAAGAATGTTTGAAGGATTTGCATTATTTCTTCCTTAAATGTGTGATAGAATTCATCAGTAATTCCATCTGGTCCTGATATTTTGGAGGGGAGGGTGGTTAACTACAACTTCAATTTCCCTAAAGAAAGATAAGGCTATTGAGGTTCTCTATTTCTTCTTGAATGAACATTGGTAGTTTGTATCTTTCAAGGAGTTTGTTAACTTCTAGGTTGTTGAATGTATTGGTATAAATTTGTTCATAAAATTGTTCCTTTTTTATCCTTTTAATGTCTGTAGGATCTATAGTGATATCTCCTCTTTCATTCCTGATATTAGTAATCTGTATCTTTTCTCTTTTTTCCTGATTAGTCTTGTGAGGTATATAAATTTCACTGATCTTTTCAAAACAGGTTTTATTTCATTGACTTTTCTTTATTGTTTTTCTGTTTTCTATGTATTGACTCCTATCTCTTATTTCTTTCTTTCTACTTACTTTTATTTTAATTTGCTCTTCTTTTCTTAGTTTTTTAAGGAGGAAGCAGATCACTCTTTTGAGACCTTCTTTAATAATTTACTAATGTTATAAATTTCCCTCAAAGAATGGTTTTAGCTGTATATGATGAATTAGATGTAATGGGCTTTTATTATCAGTGATTTCAAAATAGTTCCTAGTTTCCTTTGTGATTTCTCCTTGGTTCCATGGATTTTTAGAGGTAATCTAATTAAATAACAAGTTTAAGGATTTCCTGGATGTTTTATTATCATCAATTACTCTTTTCATTCTATTGTCAGAGAGCATACTCTTCAAGATTTCAATAATTTGAAATCTATTGAGACTTATTTTACCAGCATAGGATTCTATGAGCATTAAAAAGCACAGGTATGCTTACCCATTTGAATAAGATCAAACTTATCACATGCCTATTTATATTTCTGCATATGGGCAAATATTTTGTTAGCACTGACTTGTCTCCATTTGCACCAAAAGTTGTGAATCAGTATCAGCCATGACGGATGGCTTGAAAGGATAGTTTGCCTGGATAAAACACACTGGTATAGTAGTCCGCAACTGAAAACTCGAAGTTGGTTCTACAAGTGCTTCCGTATCATCTCAGCCACAGTTGGACAACTTCATCCTTCCCTCAGTCCTTTCAACTTACTTTCCAATGTCGCTTCTGCTATAATCCTTCAGTTATAACATTAACCTGGAAACAAATTTCCATCCTTCATTACCTTAAGTTGATTTATCAGGGTATACTTCCACTAAAGCTGTTCTTCACTAGGCATTTATCAAGAATTGAGGTCCATAGATTTGCAATAAACCCTAAAGACATAACCTAAATCCCAAAAGCTAATAATTCATTTGCTGGCTCTCTTATAGTTAAAATTCTCAACGTAACTTTGTAGTAACTAAGTCTGTCTTTCATCAAAGACACACTGCCAAGTTTTTACCTCAAAAAATCAATACTGTGGAGAAGAAACTAGCCTCATAGGGCAATACAGAAACTAGCCTCATAGGGCAATACAGCCTCATAGGGCAATACAATTTCTGTCAGTCAGAAATAATAAACTTATAATTCATAACAATTAAGGCTCAATCATTACTGACAGAAATTACTTTAGAAGAGTAATAGATCAAGGGATAGGAGAAAAGTCATCAGAAAAAGGAGGAGAAAATATTTTTAGTGAAGCAAGCAAGCAAAAACAGATTTCTGGGCTTGGTCCAACAAACATTTGTTTCCCATCCTTAGGCTCATCCCCAATTCCAATTTAACACTTAATCTAAGCCGAAAACATTTTTTTTTTTAAAAGAATGGAAGGTTGGGTAGAAGGAAGGAAAGAAGTCCATCTTTTCTATTAACATGGGTTAATGCCTCTTCAGTGTTTCTAAAACAAAAAATGATAAACAGGGGGGCACCTGGGTGGCTCAGTCATTAAGCATCTGCCTTCAGCTCAGGTCATGATCCCAGGGTCCTGGGATCGAGCCCCGCATCAGGTTCCCTGCTCAGCGGGAAGCCTGCTTCTCCCTCTCCCATTCCCCCTGCTTGTGTTCCCTCTCTCGCTGTGTCTCTCTCTGTCAAATAAATAAATAAAATCTTAAAAAAAAAAAAAAGATAAACAGTAATATAGAGGGACAAAATATTTTTACTTACTAGCTAATAGAGCATGTGATCCATGTTAATTTCATTACAAGTTCCTTTTTTTTTAACCTGATTTTATATATATATTTTTTTATTCTTATGTTAATCCCCATACATTACATCATTCGTTCTAGATGAAGTGTTCCATGATTCATTGTTTCATTACAAGTTCCTTAAAACTTTAAAATCTCTTTTGGGTTTTAAAATCCAGAGATTCATGAAAAAAGCTACAACTTTTATTGTTTGGCTTCTTAATCTTCAGTGACAACTTAAGCTATCATTATTATTTTAACAAAGCTTATTTTGCGTCATCACAGAAAGAAATATTAGACCTTTCCAACACAGACTAAAATTATTCCAAAATACATACAAAACATTTATCCTTTCACTAACAACATTTGTATGTTCCATGCATATTAGGGCCCAATTGTTAATCATTATTATACGGTCTTACTAACATGTAATTTTAAACATTTCCCTTTACTCACAAATTATACAATTTTATCATTGTGTTTATATATTTATTTGTTTATTAAAAAGGCATATTATTCAGCTAAATATCTCCTAAAAGTAATCTAAATTAGTGTTTCTTAACTAAATCCCGTTGGGAGACTTTTTGGTCTTTTAAACTGAGTTGGCTTATTATGAAGTGGATTGCTACATTTAGACTACTATCATGAGGGAAATGTACACTGTGTATAGGTACCTAATCACAATCATTTTCGTTTATTCTTAAGAAAATTCCATAAACTTACATTTATTTTCTCCAAAGCCAACTAATACCTTAGTCAAATACCTTAGTCAAGAGAGGTTCATTCTGACAAACGGCATTGGCATCCTGTAGAGCCTGCTCGTAGTTCTTCATGGTTAAATGTAACTCTGCTCGCAGCAGCAATAACGAATTATCTCTAGGAGCTGAAAGACATGGGCAATAGAAAAAAATTAAAATGACTATATTTAAAAATAAATCTTTAAGTCACTAAAAATATTAAATTGGAAAATAAACATAAAGGCAAAATAAATACTTACTCCCTCAAATCATATGTGGTTTAATAGCTTGAGAAGTTTATTTTACATAGCTTCTCTCAGGAAAACAGAAAGAGTATTAACATGACTTCAAAACGCACCAAGAAAAACAGACTGCCAAATACACACTAGGCACAACATTATCTGCAATAATAATGAGTAAATGCTGAATCATCTTAATGCTATAACTAGGTATTAAAAATGAAAAGATTTAAAATAACTTTCTTGAGGGGTGCCTGGGTGGCTCAGTGCGTTAAGCATCTGCCTTCGGCTCAGGTGATGATCTCAGGGTCCTGGAATCGAGTCCCGCATCGGGCTCCTTGCTCAGTGGGGAGCCTGCTTCTCCCTCTCCCTCTGCCTGCCAATCCCCCTGCTTGTGCTCTCTCTCTGTCAAGTAAATAAATAAAATCTTTAAAAAATAAATAAAATAACTTTCTTGAAAGTATACAAGGAAATCCATACTCAAGAAACAAAAGAATCCGTAATTTTTTTCTTATACAACTGCATGGATGTGGACTTATCATCATAAATGTACCTACAGTACGTTCTCTTAAGTGAGAAAGGAAAGGGAAAAAAACTTCCTCAAACAGAAGAGAGCTTGAGAACTGCTCATATGAGACTATGGAGATAAGCTTCACTACACAGAAGCCAAGAGTGACTCTATGAGCTGATATGTAGTATGTGAAGTCCTTGACTTGGCAAGGTACCATGGAAAGGTGACAAAGCCAGAGCTTATGAAAGCAGAACCATCACAGCCATTTTCATCCTGCTGGGGCCTGGTTCACTCTACCTATGTTCATTGCAGGATCTTTGCAATAGAGCTACAGCATGCATTTTAATTGATAAATATTCTCAGTACCTAATGTGTTCTCATTTCTCTACCTAATACCCATTTCCGTTTGCTCCAGAACCTAGACCTTGACTCTTTCTCAAACTAGCCACTTGGTACTTTCCAAATGCCACCACATCTAGTTTATGTAGGTAAGTGGGCAACTGTGCGTAATAGAACTCATGCAAAAGGATATTACATCAAGACATGGGGGGGCTACTTATGACTCTGTTATTGCTACATATGTGTAATAGAGAAAAGGTATGACAAGGAAAAAAGGTGGGAAAAGAGCAAAGATATGGCAGAAATGGAGAATCTAACAATAAAAGTTGAATCTTTTATTTTTTTTATTTTTATTTTTTTTAAGATTTTATTTATTTGACAGAGAGAGACACAGCCAGAGAGGGAACACAAGCAGGGGGAGCAGGAGAGGGAGAAGCAAGCTTCCTGCGGAGCAAGGAGCCCGATGTGGGCCTCGATCCCAGGACCCTGGGATCATGACCTGAGCCGAAGGCAGACACTTAATGACTGAGCCACCCAGGCGCCCAAAAGTTGAATCTTTTAAAATGACATGGACTGGTTAGAGTAAGGATCAACAACTTTTTTCTGCAAAAAACCAAACAGTAAGTATTTTAGGTTTTGTAGACCAGGAAAAAACTTGAGGATATTGTACAGGTACTTATATAACAAGAAAGAAAACAAATTTTCACAAAATTTTTATTGGCAAAATTAAAAAATAACAGTAATAATTTAGTACTTTTTTGTAACACAGGTCTACTAATTAGAAGAATGGAATTCTTTGGGGGAAGGGACATTTTCCTTAAAGTTCAAAGTTAGTTTCCCCTATCATCAAAATAAATTGGAAAATGTTCATGTGCTGATTATGATCTGTAATGAGATTTTATGTTTTTCATCTTGGAATATGAAATACAGATGTCAATCCACAAGCATATGATTTGAAATTGAGCATTTAATTGCTTATAAGTTCTTTATAGAATTCTATTAGATTCTTCTCATATTTGTCTCTGTAGTATGTTATATAGTAAACATAATTACAGATTAGTCATTTGCAACTGAAGACTAAGTAAAAGTTCCTCAAACGCACAATTAAATACATTTTCAAATACAGAAATAACTTTTAGAGATTTTTGGAAATCTCAAAAAAAAATGCTGCTAGAACTATAGTTTGAGCTTGAGAAATACACCTGCTGCAAATATGGGTGAGAATGAAGATCTCCCACCTTGTTCCTACTTTGCCAGAGTTGATTTTCTTGAATCTTCTAAACAACCATATCATGTGAAAACAATCAGCTTTGACTCTGACATGCTAGGTTTTATTCCTTGTGTTTCTTTTCATTTCCACATTGAAGTAACAGTGGTGATAGCAGACATTTGTCTCTTATTTTTGAATTTAAAAAAGGACATGTGGAATGTTTTAACATGAAATATGTTTACTGTAAGCTCCTGACAGAGAATATTTATCAAATTAGTTAAGTTTCTTTCTATTCCTAGTTTTCTAAGAAGGCATTACAACAAGTAGGTGCTGAATTTTATAGCATGCTCTTTCAGCAAGAGAGAGATTACTTGGGAGTTTATCTCCTTAAATCTGTCCTTATAGGGAATTACATTGAACAATTTGTCTAATACTGAAACATCCTCATATTCTTGGGATAAGCTCATCTTGATCTTAAGTCTTACTGTATTGTTGGATTCAGATACTAAGAAATTTAACTAAGATTTTGGCAACTATGTAGATAGGTAAGACTAGCCTATGATTTTTTTCCTAAGCTTAATTGATTGTAGTATCAAAACTACACTAATCTTATAAAACTAAATGAAAAATTTCCCATATCTCTCAATGATCTGAAATAAGATGAAAGTTAATCTTCCTTGAAAGCTTGTTAAAATTTGTTTGACCTTAATGTCTTTTTCAAAAGAAAAAGCCCTGAGTAGCACTTCTATTTTGTTTATGGTTATTGGTCAATGTCAGGCTTTTACTTCTTCTTAGGTCAATTTTGATAATTTATAGTTTCCTTAAAATTGTCCTTTTTATATAGGCTTTAAAATCTGTTATGTTCTTTTATATCTGCAACTGTGCTTCTTCTTCATTCCTGATCCTAATTGTGTTTTGCTTTTTCTTCATCACATTTGCCAAACATTTGTTTCTTTTATTGGTCTTTGTAATGAACCAGCTTCTGACTTCTTAACCAACCTAAGTTTTTTCTGTTTCACTAATGTTTTCTTCATTATCTCTTTGCTTACACTTGTGTTAGCTTAATTGATCTTGACAAAATTTTTGGAGTTAAAAACACTCTTCATTTACATTTATTTTTAATCATTCTTCTCTAATTTAAGCCTCTACTCCTCCCATTCTAAAGGCTACTTTTACTGAAGTCCAAAACAGTCACTTCCCATCCAGACACTGAATGAATCAAATTATTTTCTTTGTTGACTTCCACCATTTGGCAATCCATTTATGAAGCCAGAACTTCATAATTTAATCTTTTAAAACATTTCAGATAAATCACTACACATTTCCTAAGCATTAAGCCTTAAGCTTAATAAAACTGAGAGAATTTATGGAGGAATCACAAAAAATAAATGGAAGAGGAAAAGCACCTTAAAATTCTTTGTGTGGAGACAGCTTATGGAAGAAAAACACATGTGTGCACCTTCCAAGAAACTGACAAAAATATCCAAACAGTTGATCAATTAACCCTTGTATGGGGAAAGGAGTCAACCAGGCTTTGTGAGGAAAAGAAGAAATAGTCTACTCTCTACATTTGTGTTTAGGGTTAATCAGAGACTGTTCTCCTCCAACTGCAACCCAGGGTCATTTTTATGCTGGGAGCTAGAGTTACGACTGTAAGATCCGTCAAATGAGTGGGCAGTGGTGAGAAGTAGAGAACTGTACAAGTGTTATTTATGAAGAGTTGAATGAATTGATACACAAAGCAATGTCAACTAAGTAGTGGTCCTGGTGAAGAGAAAGAATAAATGGCAGTACTCCTCATGGTTTATTTGTTCAAAATGATGTAGGACTTACAAAGTCAAGGCTACAAATCATAAATGTGTATCTTGAACTTTTATATACATATACACCTGAGTGATCACTACCCAGATCAGGACCTAAGAAAGCTCCTTTGCACTTTCCCAAGTAGTACACCTTTCCTAAAGGTAACCACCATTCTGACTTCTATCAACATGAATTACTTTCACCTGTTTCTGAACTTATACATGGGGCTATATGAATAGAATGTACTCTTTTGTATCTGTCACTATCATTCTGTGAGATTTCTCCATATTGCTGTATGTCTCTGTTTCTTTAAAAAAAAAAAAACCCTGCTGCCTATGGAAAAAGCCAAGATGTCCATCAACAGAGGAATGGATAAAGAAGATGTGGTATATATACACAATGGAATATTATGCAGCCATCAAAAAAACACCCCCAAAATCTTGCCATTTGCAATGACATGGATGGAACTAGAGGGTATTATGCTAAGCGAAATAAGTCAATCAGAGAAAGACAAGTATCATATGATCTCACTGATATGAGGAATTTTTTTTTTTTAAAGATTTTATTTATTTATTTGAGAGAGAGAATGAGATAGAGAGCATGAGAGGGGGGAGGGTCAGAGAGAGAGGCAGACTCCCTGCCGAGCTGGGAGCCCGATGCGGGACTCGATCCTGGGACTCAAGGATCATGACCTGAGCCGAAGGCAGTCGCTTAATCAACTGAGCCACCCAGGCGCCCGATATGAGGAATTCTTAATCTCAGGAAACAAACTGAGGGTTGCTGGAGTGGTGGGGGGTGGGAGGGATGGGGTGGCTGGGTGATGGATATTGGGGAGGGTATGTGCTATGGTGAGCGCTGTGAATTGTGTAAGACTGATGAATCACAGACCTGTATCTCTGAAACAAGATAGTAGGAAGGGAAAAATGAAGGGGTGGAAATCAGAGGGGGAGACAAACCATGAGAGACTATGGACTCTGAGAAATAAACTGAGGGCTTTAGAGGGGAGGGGGGTGGGGGGATGGGTTAGCCCAGTGATGGGTATTA